CTTCTATGCCAAGTTTTGATTAACGTCGAATGTTGGGTTGTGTCAAATGCTTTTTCTGCATCTATAGAGATAAAAATATGGTTTTAATTTGGTTCTTTTGTTAATATGGTGAATTTCATTAATCACTTTTTGAAACCAACCTTGTATTGCCCTGGATAAGCCTCCTTGGTCACGATGTATTATCGTCTTTTCATATGGGTGGATTCAGTTTGAGGATATCCGCTTCTGTGTTGACGAAGGATGTGGGTCTGTAGTTTCAATTGCCTGCGGTGTCTTTGTCTGGTTTTGGTACCAGGGTAATGCTGACCTCAAGTTAAAACAAGCTATAGAGTATTTGCCTCTCCTTTATTTTCTGGGAGAGTTTGTGTAACACTGGTATTTTTTTTTTTTCCTTGAGAGTTTAGTAGAATTCACTAGTTCGGCCATCCGGGCCTAGAGGTTTTCTTTTATTGAAATTTTAAAACTACAACTTCAATTTCTTTAATAGACATAGGAATAGTCAGGTTATCTATCTTGAGGGAACTTTGGTAGTTTGTACCTTTTAAGGAATTCATTCATTTTATTGAAATTGTCCAATTTCTGGGCATAACCTTGTTGGTGTTTGTCCCTTTAATTTTTTTTATTGTCTGTAGAACCTGCACGATGTTTCCTCTGACCTCACATTGCTAGTCTGTATAATGTCTTTTCCTCAATCACTTTAACTAGACACTTATCAACTTTATTAATCATTTCAAAGAATCAACTTTTAATTGATTTTTCTCTACTGGTTTTTTAGTTTGTTTTAAATTTTATTGATTTCTGCTCTTTATTATTTCTTTCCTCCTGCTTGCTTTGGATTTAATTTGCTCCCTTTTGTTAGTTTTTCAGAGGAAGATTGCATTATTGATTTCAGACCTTTCTTCTTGTCTGATATAAGCATCTGGTGCTATAAAGTCCCTCTAAGCATTGATTTAGCTGCTTCCCAGAAAATATGCTTTATTTGAATTTTCATTCAACTCAAGTTATCTTCTGATTCCTCTTGTAGCTTTTTCCTTAACCCATGAGTTATTTAGTAGTGTATTATTTAATTCACAAATGTCTGTAGAATTTCCAAATGTCTTTCTATTGTCAATTTCTAGTTTAAATCCCCGACAGTCTGAAAACATGTATGTAGAGTTCCTTCAGAAAATGTTAGTGAGTCAAAGTAGCCAGGACAAGCTCGGAAAGGGAAAGGCAGGAGGTGCTATCAAACGTCAACACGCTCTTCAGTTTACAGGGACCCAAAGAGGGGCTCCGTGACCAGAGCGGCACACAACGCCGAACAGAAAGCTCAGAAACAGACCTACTTACATCTGACTTACTCAGCATGCAATAAAATGCCACCTCCAAACATGGAAAAGATTGGCTCATTCAATAAGTGTTGCTGAAATGATTTGAAAAAAAAATAAAATATACAAACTTGTCACACCAATTCACTTCACCTGCATGTGCCAGGTTAATGACTCGATTTCATAAATGAGATCACTATTAGAAACAAATGAAGGGGGAGGGGCCGGCCCCGTGGCTCACTCGGGAGAGTGCGATGCTGGGAGTGCTGAGGCCGTGGGTTCTGATCCTATATAGGAATGGCCGGTGCGCTCACTGGCTGAGCACGGTGCGGGCAACACCATGCCAAGGGTTGCGATCCCCTTACTGGTCACAAAGAAAAGAAAAAAAGAAACAAATGAAGGGAACTTCTAAGTGGATCCCTGTATGGTGAAGTCCTCAAAACACCCCCAGGTTCAGAAGCTCACCAGGAGGATGTACAGGACCCAGCATGGGGTTGTGCTCGTAGCTGAAATTTATAAGAGCAAAGGACTTTATGCAAAATGTGCAGACAGGAGGGCACAGGGGCTGGTGTGGAGGAACCGCGGTGCAGGCTTCAACTTCCGCCCTGCAGGCAGGGGACGAGCTTCATTCCAGCAGCAGCGCACTGGCAAGTGTCACGTACCAGGGAGCTGGTTGGAGATGCAGCCCCACGGTTTTCACCGGAGGCTGGCTGTGTGGGCAGGCCCAGCCTAGACACACCGGCATGCCGTACTGGGCAGGGGAGAGGAGCGCTTCATGAACACTGTCTCTGCACAGTCCCTGCACAGCACACGCTTGTCATCGTCCGACAGTGGCATGAGGGCCACGCTCCCAGTCGCCACCTGAGGACCCACCTTGCACGGGCCTTTTGTGGACAGCAGGCCCGAGCCTGCCGTGCTCAGCTCTTCTGCACAATTTCCAAGGTTAGAAACTTTGAAAAAAGACTGATAGACTTGACTCTAAAAACATTAAATATAATTTTATAAAGCAAAACAAAATATAACAAAAACTGGAAGACAAATTACAAAATTAAACTAAAACATGACAACGGAATAATGTATGTGTGACTGGCTTCGGATTAGGAAGAACACTTGGCAAGACACAGGCAAGTTATGAAGGAAATAAACACAAGGAAAAAATCCAGCAACTCAACGGAACAAAGGAAAATTGAAATATAACGAGGTACCATTTGTCACCTGTCACTAGGGACTCTGCTGCAGGCATGAGCTCGGAGTACTAGTTGGCAGCGTGTTCCAGCCTGGACTGGGGCAGGGGCTGGGTCAGAGCTGGCACGGGCCTGGCCAACCCGCGCGGACCCCTCACCCCGGGAGTCGCAGCCTGCAGGGTTGCGGTCTTCCAGGTCCTGAGATTACAGACTCAGAACTTTTCACCAACTGGGAGGAGGGTGCGCAGTTCCTCTCTGTGCTGTTTTTCACAACTTCCTGTGAATCTACCATTATTTCAAAATAAAAAATACAGAAAAAGCCTCTTTTTATTCATTGCATTTTCTAATGTCTCTACAATGAATTACTGTATGAGGGTACTTCAGAAAATTCACAGAAAAATAGAATTTAGAATATCGAATCTTTCCATGAGCGTTTTGAAGCACCGACTGCAGTGCCTTCTAGAATAAGGACCGAGGGGTGCATCAGGCCAGCACCTGCACCTGCGCGGTCATCGCACATCCCTGTGGGTGTGGTGAGCCGTTCGCATTTGCAAAAGGCTTAGGACGGGGCCTGACACAGACTAAGCGCAGGATAAGGTTTGTTTTGTTTTTAATAAATGAAAATAATAAAATTAAGAAGTGAGCGTGCATTCCAGTTTGAAGGAGAAACCTGTCACCATCTCTCGCTCCGGCTCCACCTGGCCTTGCCCTTGAGCCCCCAGGGAAGACAAGTATCCTCAGAAGGTTCTGGAGGACCAGGGAGTAGAACCAGAAGCGTGGGCTCTGGTGGCTGGTGCCCGCACCATCAGTGTGGCCAGACCCCAAGGCCTGGGACTACTTCTGTCCCCGGGCAGTGCTGACCTGTGCCCTGTGGGGCCTTGTCCACCCTCCTGACAGGGATGCTCTTCCTTTGGCAGGTGGTCCCCCCAGGCCCGGGAGCCATCCAGGCCCCGTTGCTGCCTGCAGATCTCTGCCCCATCTGGTCAGAGCTGGTATATGGCTGGCTCTAGGGAGCAGACTCACTTCTTAAAGAGGGGGTGGCCACTGTCACTCCTGCACTGGAGGTGACCCTTCCTGTGCCCTTGGGGGGGTCTGCACTAAAGCTTTCACAGCCTCCAGAATATTGAAAGGGCAGAAGACCCTGGAAATACCAGGCTTGGGGTCAAAATCCACCCACTTCCAGGCAGCTCAAGGCAAGGGCCAGAGCTGTGTCCCCTGAGGAAGCTGCTAGTGACACCCCCAGCCCAGTACCCAGGGAGGGCTGGCCTGGGACGCACCTGCTTCCCTTCTGCTCCCAGCTCGGTTTCTGGCCCCTCTTGACCTCCCTGCCCCAAAGCCTCACCCAGTCCAGGTCCCGTCCCATGTCCTCTGTGAGCAGGCGTCTCTGAGGCCAGCGCCTGGGAGGCTCCCTATCTCCCGCCTGAGCAGTGAGGTCCCGAGATGGCTCCAGAACCCTGGACCAAGGCTCACTGGCCCTAATCTATCCCACCCAGCCTGTGCTCTGAACACCCAGGGACCTTAGAACCTGCCCTGCCCAGCCTGGGATGGGCCTGAGCCACAGTGTGGCTGTCCCGAGGCTCATGTGTCCACTGGGCCGTGTTGTGTCCCTGGGGAGCTGAACCGGGCTTTGGGGGCACCTGGGCAGGATCCAGCCAGACTCCCCACCTTATCAGATGACTACCACTGGCTGGTGGTCCTGTCCATGGCTCAGGAAGAGGGAAGCAAGTTGGCCCCCACCCCTGCTGCCTTCTCCTCTTTCCAGCAGCCACAACTTGGAGCTTGCCAGGCTCCCCACTCCACGACTTGGGCACCCAGAACCCATGAAGGACTGAGCTCCAGATCTGAGGGACCCCACCCCTCCCACAGCTGGTGCAGAGGTTGCTGTAGTCCCACCTGCAGCCAGAAGATTGGCACCACATCTGGCTAGAAGGCCATGTCCTCCCAGGGCTTCTCAGCCAGCACAGTCTGATTCCTGCACTCTGGTTGTCCTGGGGGTGGCTAGCTGTCACCTGCCAGCCATAAAATGGCCCACTTCAGGAGGGCCTGGGGGGTCCTGAGGACTGGGGGCCTGCCCAGAGCCCCCTTGAAGTGCACAGGCTGCCGACCCATCCCTTCATCAGCCATCAGTGCAACACTGCCCCCAAACTCCCACCATGGCCTCGGGCAAGCCCCAGGCCCTCGTGTGTGCAACGACCTCGCACCAGACCCCAAAGGCAGCCTGGGGGCAGGTGCAGCGTCCCCAGTGAGGCACCTGGGGCTGGGTCAGACAGGCGCAGCTAGGTGCTGAGGGAAGCTAGATGCTGAGTGGGTGCCCCAGACCAACACCCCCTTGAACCACTTGCCCCTCGGAGCTCTCTCCCCCTCCCCCTCCCCAGCCCAGAGAAACCAGCCCCCTCCCCACCTCACCACTGGGGGGCAGGGTACTTAGTCTCTGGACTGTGCTGGGACCATTCGGGTCCCACCCAACAGGCCTAACATGCAAATAAAGCCACAGCCGAGACCCATGGAGTGTGCTGCATAAGAGCCACGTTTATTTCTTAATTGGACAGAGCCTTAAGTGCACACGAACAGTACAGGAGCCTATAGCTAACACTCGGGTGTAAGACATCAGGGGACCGGGGGCGTTACGTCAGGGTGGTGGTTATGACACAGGGTCCGGGGTGTGTCCACAGCAATCATGTATGTACAAGCCAGGGACACGGCCTCCAAGCCACAGGGAGAACTCAGGGGACGGACTAGCTGCAGGGAGCACAGGCCGGTCACACCCTCCATCCATCTCAGGGGACTGCGCGGCCCGGCCCCAGGGAGAAAGGAGCTCGCCTTCCAGGCCCCACTGCAGGTGGAGCTGGCAGAGGACCAGCTCCATGACCCTGCTCACGCCTGTAACAGCAGCCACCCTCAGGGAGCCCAAGGTGCCCATGGGGGTCCAGGGACCAGGACTGACCTGGGTGTGTGTGTGTGTGTGTGTGTGGCCCGTGGATGAAACGTTGGCATCTCAGGGATCTCTCAGAGTGGGGGGCCCTGGACTCAGGCCCCCTGGGCACCAGCCCCCTCACCCGGAGGCCAGCATTCCCTGTCCTGGGCATGTCCCCAGGGGGAGGAAGGCCACCCCTAAACCAAAATGAGGCCACAGACTGTGCAGCATCAAACACGGAAACAAAACCATTTGAGAGCAGCGGCTTTCTGGATCTTTTCCTTCCTTCTGCACTTAGCAGGAAACAACAGCCACACCTACACCTGGCTTTCCTCTCCGCACCACACGATGTGAGGACCCCCCAGACCAGCCCTCCATGTCACAGATGAGGAAACCAAGTCCCAGGGGGTTAAATGAATTGTCGTCAGTTCATAGAATACGCAGGCAGTTTCGGGCAGGGCAGGCGTCAAGAAACCAGGTCTCCTGCCTCAGACAGATCAATCTGTCAGCTCTGGGCTTCTGGACCCTGTGGACCCTGACTTGGGAACTCCGTGGAGAGGAGGCTTCTGAGTGGGGGTGACTCCAGGCTCTATCCCTTCCCTCCGCCCCAGCTGCAGGTGCTCTGCAGGTTGGCTGGCCTGAGACACCTGCGCACTGGGCTGGGGGCCTCAGCCGTTCAGGCTGGCTGACCTGACGCGCTGCGCCTCCTCCTGACCGCCTGGGAAGGCAGAGCCTTGGGAAGCCGACTCGTCCCCGGGGCCACTCCTCCTCCCGCTCCATCCACTCCTCCTCCCGCCCCAGCAGTTCCATCTCAGGACACTGTCCCATCACCTCCCCCGTGCGTCCCAGCCCACTTCCTCTGGACACCATCTACAATGGGGCATGTCAGGGTGGTGGTTATGACACAGGGTCCGGGGTGTGTCCACAGCAATCATGTATGTACAAGCCAGGGATGCAGCCTCCAAGCCACAGGGAGAACTCAGGGGACGGACTAGCTGCAGGGAGCACAGGCCGGCCACAGCCTCCATCCACCCCAGGGGACTGCGCGGCCCGGCCCCAGGGAGAAAGGAGCTTGCCTTCCAGGCCCCACTGCAGGTGGAGCTGGCAGAGGACCAGCTCCATGACCCTGCTCACGCCTGTAACAGCAGCCACCCTCAGGGAGCCCGAGGTGCCCATGGGGGTCCAGGGACCAGGACTGACCTGGGTGTGTGTGTGTGTGTGTGTGTGTGTGGCCCGTGGATGAAACATTGGCATCTCAGGGATCTCTCAGAGTGGGGGGCCCTGGACTCAGGCCCCCTGGGCACCAGCCCCCTCAGCCGGAGGCCAGCATTCCCTGTCCTGGGCATGGAAGGAGCTCACCCTCCCCAGGGGGAGGAAGGCCACCCCTAAACCAAAATGAGGCTACAGACTGTGCAGCACCAAACACGGAAACAAAACCATTTGAGAGCAGCGGCTTTCTGGATCTTTTCCTTCCTTCTGCACTTAGCAGGAAACAACAGCCACAACTACACCTGGCTTTCCTCTCTGCACCACACGATGTGAGGACCCCCCAGACCAGCCCTCCATGTCACAGATGAGGAAACCAAGTCCCAGGGGGTTAAATGAATTGTCGTCAGCTCATAGAATATGCAGGCAGTTTCGGGCAGGGCAGGCGTCAAGCGTCAAGAAACCAGGTCTCCTGCCTCAGATAGATCACTCTGTCAGCTCTGGGCTTCTGGACCCTGTGGACCCTGACTTGGGAACTCCGTGGAGAGGAGGCTTCTGAGTGGGGGTGACTCCGGGCTCTATCCCTTCCCTCCGCCCCAGCTGCAGGTGCTCTGCAGGTTGGCTGGCCTGAGACACCTGCGCACTGGGCTGGGGGCCTCAGCCGTTCAGGCTGGCTGACCTGACGCGCTGCGCCTCCTCCTGACCGCCTGGGAAGGCAGAGCCTTGGGAAGCCGACTCGTCCCCGGGCCACTCGCTCCATCCACTCCTCCTCCCGCCCCAGCAGTTCCATCTCAGGACACGGTCCCATCACCTCCCCCGTGCGTCCCAGCCCACTTCCTCTGGACACCATCTACAATGGGGCACACAGGCCACCTGGTTTCTGGACAAGGTCTAATTTCAGTCTGGGGCATGAATCCTCATCTGGGAGATCAGAGAAAGCCACTGAGTCCCGTGCCTACAACCGGCTCCTACCGACAGGTGCTGCACCCACTGCGGGCGGGGCGGCCACCGGCACAGGCACCTGAGCCCAGCTGCGACAGGGACTCAGCCTCAACCCCAGCCGTGCTGTGCCACCTGGCTCCCGCCCATTCACCCTGCCCCCTGCTGTCTGAGGCGAAAGTCGAGGGGCCTGAACAGCTTTTCCAAAGGAAAACCTCAAGCTGCAGCTTCCCACAAGGTACGGGAAGCAGAGGCTCGCCCTGACTCCCGGAGCGAGGACCTCACATCCGCGTTTCTTCCCCCAGAGGAGACACTGAGAGCACTTGCGCCTCGGGGACTGGAATCGGGAGAGCACGCATCCCAACCAAGTGGCAGGAGCTGGCAAAGGTGGAGGAAGGTGCTGGGAGGGCCCAGCCCAAACGCAACCTGCTCTTGGTGGGCCACGGCTGGGACGGGGGTCTTGCTGTTTGGTTGCTGTTTTGCCTTGAGCTGTAGAGGCACTGAGGGGGCTGCAGATGTGGGAACGGGGGCCCCTGAGACCGCAGGCCCCATGGTTCCTCCAGTAGGCTTTTCTTGCTGTTTTGGCAGCTGGCCTGTACAGGGATCTGAACCCTTGACCTTGGTGTGATAACACCAAGCTCTAACCAACTCAGCCAACCGGCCAACCCTCTCCAATGGGCTTTTGACCTGGACAGGACATACGACCACACTCTCAGCCCGGGGCTGACCCTGTCCCATCCTGGGCAGCCCTCAGTCACTGGGGTCTACAAGGCGATGACATGGAAATGACAATGAGTGGTCAAAACAAGAGCAAGGGGCACAGCCCAGATGCAGAAGGAAAGAGCGCCCCTGTGACAGTGGCTGCGCGCTGCTGACGCACCTGCCTGACCCCGACACACCTCACCCGGGGACTTTCCCACTGGGACTTACAGACACTCTCCGCCCTGGGGACAAAGAGAGGAAAGTCCCTGGAGGAAACCCATCAGCCACAGAACTCCTTCCCAGCAGCTGCCTGAAGCTCACTGCCTTTCTCACCACGGCCGCAGGGGCTGCACCGGGGCCCCTCGATACCTGGACCAACACCCTGAATGCTGGCCCTCCCTGCCATTCCACAGCGTCCCTAAACCAGTCCCCTGCCCCCGCTGGCCTGGACACAACACACAGCAAAGGGGAGCGGGTCTGTAAGGCTGAGTTGGGACCCCGACCCTGCTCCCTCTCAGTCCCCACTCAGGACAGCCCCCAGCGGCCCAGGCGTCTGTGGGCCGCATCCCAGGTGCTCCTCATCCCACACCCTGTCTGGAGGAGAAGCTGTCAGCACTGCCCTCACGGTCATAGCTCAGGTGGCTGCCCAGGTGGGACATGGATCCCGCCTCCACCAGGAGCAGCACACACCACCTTCCACGCTCCTCGGACTTCAGGCATCAGGAGACCCCATCCACCCACACAAACCCTGGGACGGGGGCCTGCCAGGGCAGGTGTGCCCCTGGTGCCAACCACAGGTGTGCCCTGGTTCACCCGGACACCACCTTGCATGGTCTTCCAAGGTGACTGCTCCCACCCATCCGTCCCTAACAGGCCTGGGAGACGCACGTGGGAACACACAGCAGCGGGGGTGGGGGAGTCCATCTGAATCTCACAGGTCTACGTGGAGGCATTAGAAATAAATACTTATAAATAGGACACAGTCTTATAGTTAATTTCTGAGTGGGCCATTTCAATGTCACTAACTAATGTATATTAATTATAAGTCTGTCTATGCTTAAAAAAATATTAGAACCACAGCGATGCCCAAAGGCCTGTGCCCTCTGCTGTTCCCGGCCCTTCCCCACTCTTTCCACCCAGAGCACGTTTTGAAAGAAGAAACAACATGCGCAGCCTCAGCAGGCAGCACAGCAGTCCTGTGGCGAGGCCCCCGGTGGGGGGGGGTGGGCCCCACACGAGTGTCCCCAGAGCAGGGGATTCAGTCGTTGGCTGTCTGGTGGGGAAGGGCTGGGCGGTGGAGGACGAGGGCGGGGGCTGTCACGGGAGGGCTCCGGCTCACACCCGCATCTGGGCAGACCTCCTCCTGGAGAGCTTGGACCTGCAAGAGGGTCGGGAGACAGGAGCGGTCAGGGCCGGGAACCAGCTCCAGCCACATCCTCCAGGCCCTCGCAGGCAGGCGGCCCCCGCAGCCCGCCCCGTGCCCCGGCGCCTGCTGCCTCCGCCCCCTCACCACCCGGAGCAGAGGCTGAACCTCGCTGCCTGTCTCCGTGGCTCGGTGGGAGCCACTGGGCCCTCCTCAAGTCCCCTCCCCGGCCCCTGTCCGAGCCTCCGTGGGGGGGGAGCCTGTCCTCCCCGGGCCTGCTGCGGGCACTGGTCTTGGCGAGGTCAGGCCCGCCCCGGAGAGGACGCACATTATGGGAACCTCCTCGGGCGGGGATTTATCACTTCACGAGCAGCAAGGACTCGAAAACGAGCCCCGCCGTCCTCAGCAGTGCCCCTCCCCATGCGCAGACCGCCCAGCGCCTACCGGATGGTCCCGGCCAGGAGGGGGTTGAAGGCGTACAGCCAGTCGTGCATGTCCTTGTCGCTGCTCGCCTGCAGCAGGATGCCACGGTGCGCCGTGCACACGGCAAACGTGTTGGGCGTCTGCAGAGGAGGCTGCCGGTGAGAAGGCACAAGGCCTCCCCAGCTGGCCAGCATGGGCAGGAGGGACAGGGGCACCACTGGGAAAACCTCAGGGACAAGAAAGCCAGAAAGACCCCACACCAGACGGCCAAGTGGGAAAGGCTGTGCTGAGCCCACAAAGGGCTATGATTCCCTTCTGGAAGCCTCCACGGCCAGCACACCCTGTCCCAGGGCTACCCTCCACTACTCTGCATGCCACAGCTGCGTCTGCCCATTGCAGGGTGTGGTCCCTTCCCTGGAACCCTGTCCAAGCTGCATGGCTGGGCCCCATTCATCCCAGCATCTTCTCCCAAGTCCCTGCCCTTGGTGTGGCAGGCATGGGTGCCAGGCTGAACTCGTGCCACCCATCCCACCACAATGAATCAAAAGTTAGAGGGCACCGTAGCTGCCTCCCAGATGGCCTGCGGAACCTTCTCTCCTCAGCCAGCAGGAAGGATGTCAGAGCTCCTGGCACACGCCCAGGTCACTGCTTGCTCAGAGAGGAGCGGGGACAAAGCCAGGGGCCAGGGGAACCTACGGGGCTCCCACCACCCGCCTCAGGTGTCCCCAGCGGGAGGGCGCTTGGGCACTGGACATTGCATAGGAGCATGTTAACGCTTGCCCCACCCACAGATGACAGCACCCATTGCTGCTAGATGTCACCAAGACTATGAGCCCCACAGGCGAGCAGAGAGACCCCACAGGGACAGCAGAGGGACAGTGAGAGCGAACCCCTGCATCTCTGCCCTCTGTGGGGCAGGACAGGAGGGCCTCAGCCTGGGCAGTGAGTGGACGGGCCTCCCCGCTCCCATGCAGGGTCCACCACAGAGGACGCTGGCTCCTGCCCTCCCCTGGCCCCACTGGGGACGCGTCGTGCCCTGTCCCCAATTCCCGTGCACATGCCCTGAGCCAGGCCAGGCCGTACCTTGAGCATAGCCTGCTGGTCCTCACTGTACTCCACCTGGGCCGTGGACAGGTTGAGCACAAACCTCTCCACAGAGTCCCTGTCGTTGTTGTACATGTAGGCATAGGGGCGCCGTACCACCACGAAGCGCTTGGCCCAGCCTGCCGTGTGCGGCTCCAGGAAGTGCAGGTACCCCTTCTTGGAGACGATCGGGCTGTGGGGCAGGGACACCTGCTCACGGGGGCCCTCCTGGGCAGTCAGCTGGGGCTGTGGGACCCAGCGTGTGGCCCACTGCCCACCACCCCACGCCAGGCCCGCAGCAGTGCCAGCCACCTCGGAGGTCAGAAAGGGGGCCGAGGCATCCTGGGACAGTGGGCAGGACCCTACCCCAGGAGGCTGGAGATCAGAACCACCAACCCATCTCTGGGCCTCAGTGGTCAGTTGTAAAATGGGGAAACAAACAAGCAGAAAAGCTGAAGCTGCCCAGAGCTGTTCCACCATGCCCCATCACCATGAAGCTCCCAGCTCTGAGCTCTGGCTCTGACCCACCCACTCACCCTGCACTTCCTGCTCATGCCCAGCCACTGCACGTGGGTCAGGGGTGCCCGCCTGTCTCCTGCCAGTGCAGAGCTGGCTGGGCAGTGCTCTAGAAACACTCCTGTTTCGGGCAGGCCGCCACACACCTGACCCGAATCTCCTGGATGTCAGGGACTAGCAGGCGCTGGGGCTCCTTGTCGGCCTCCGTCACCTGGGCAGGGGAGGGGGGCTTCTTGGAGTCCACTTCCAGCAGCAGCTCCGGCTCGGGCTCTGGGCTGGCTGGCCGTGAGCATGGCTGTGGTGTCCTGGCAAGGCAGAGAAAAGCCACTGAAATCCTGCCGGGAGGCTGCTGGGCCAGGACCACCGCCTGGAATTCATCCCTGTCAGAGCCACCACGGGGCAGCCTTTGGGGTCTGCCTGGCTGTCAAAGCCACTGAAATCCTGCCGGGAGGCTGCTGGGCCAGGACCACCCGCCTGGAATTCATCCCTGTCAGAGCCACCACGGGGCAGCCTTTGGGGTCTGCCTGGCTGTGTCCACAGTGGGAGCTCCTGGGGCCCACTCTCCAGGGCAGCCAAGTGTCTGCCTGATTCCAGGACGTGCTGGGCATGATGTGAGGAGCCGGGGGACAACTACGGTGACCAGGCAGGCCGGGCCAGCGCAGTCAGTGCCCGGCTGTGTGAGATTCCACGCCCTTCTGCCACGGGCTCTCCTGCCTCCCCACCTCCTCCCCCTGTCAAAGCAGATCCTGCATCTCTTCATCTCCAAAATGAATATTTTTTTAAGCATCTTTGGTAATTTTTTTTTCACTTAAAAAAAATTGTGGTGACATTTACACAACATCATCTCCAAAATTAAACCGAGGGTGACACACATTGTCAGGGACCGCTGGAGTGGAGGGAGCCGCAGGCACGGCATGCTGGACCCAGCAGCCAAGGGACCGTCTCAGGATGAGGCCAGGGGCTGATGCCTTCCTCTTTCCTTTTTAAGAAAATTTGGAAATCTGGAGGCATTTTAAAACAAGTAAAAATCACCTGAAATCTCAATACCCAGACATAAGCGCTGCTGACGACGTGGGCATCTTCCCTCCAAACACCGCCCTTAGGACGGTGACATTCTTGTCTGCCAAGTGGCCTCACACCTCCCCAAGTTCTGTTTTGAAGACTTTTTTCCTACTGAGTCTTCTATGAGAACTTCTCTGGGTGTTTTGTTTGTTTGTTTTTCACCCGTTTCTGGTTTTATTCACATGGGGGGTTACATTTCTGCTTTATCAGAAAACCGCTTGTGACAGGTGGAGAAGGCACAGGAAGAGGGGGCCAAGGGCGGGGCCGTGCCATGCCAGCCCCTGCCCTAAATGCGTGCGGCCACCCAAGACACTCAGCGATCCTGCCCCAGTTGCTCTGTGCTCTGTGCCCCCAAATCGCAGCCATTGTCATCAGTGGGCTCCCGGTGCTGGAAAATTCTCCGGGAGCTGGAGCTCACTCACCTCAGGTCGGCGGCACCGTACCGCCCTTCAACCAGAGAGGGGCAGGTGGAGGAGGGGGTGAGCGTGGCTGCCCCCAGAGGGGACATGGATGGGTCCCGCAGCAAGGTGACAGACATCTCAGAGAGCTGCAGAAGAGAGACGGTGGCTTTTGCAGGAGACCCAGGGAAGGGGGACGGCCTCCAGGCTTCCATGGGTGGGGACGCCCTGCAGTGGCTGCTTCTGTACATTTTACCCTCTGTTTAGGACACCCCACCCCTCTTCCCAGCGTCAGCTCACAGGTGGCTCCCTGAGACCCCCGACCCTGTCCCAGACCCTGCACCAGCCTGGCCTGCCCCTCTCAACATTTTGGGCTCTGCACTGTCAGGAGGGGTTCGAGGCAGGCCTGTCATTTCCTCGAGGGGTGGGCGGGTGAGCTCTGAGCGGCCGCCTCGTGCCAGCTCCATCCAGGCAGGAGGAGGACGTGGCCAGCGTGGAGGCTCTGGCCTGACTCAGAGCAGGGCGGCCCACGGAGTCTGCAGGACAGTGCAAAAGCCACTCAGCTTCAGGAGGGCACGAGGCCGCAGGATGAGGATTGGTCCCCGGGAGGAAGAACGACAGCCACGGGAAGGGACTCAAGCAGGACAGAGGCACCGGGCGAGGCCCAGGCCAGCCAGGGCTGGGGACAGGAAGACAGCGGGAGCTGCGAGGGCCTGGCAGACACCAGGCGAACAAAGCCCAGGCTCACGGGCCTCGGGCCCAGGGAAACCAGCCACTCGGCTACCAGGTGTCACTCTGGGCTGTGAGGGGTGCGCTCCTAAGAAAACCCTACTGCCATTTCCCAATGGGTAAGGGGTCTTCCATGGCAGCCCCATGGCCCTGACAGCCCCGGCCACCCACCTTGCTCTCGCTGGCGCTGATGCAGACATGGCTGTGGGTGTACTCGCGGTTGAAGGTGTGCATGAGCAGGCGCAGGCACTGTGGGGACAAGCGCACTGTCAGGCGGAGCCTCCCGGGACCCGCTTGCCTGGCACCGTCTGCAGCCTCCGCTGCCCACCCCTCCCCAGACACAGGCAGACTGGCTAAGGGCTACATACAACAGTCACGGTGGGCAGCACCTCCACCCCGCCGAGGTGCTGGGCAAACTAGGGAAACCCCCAGGGGCAGACCCGGGCCTGGGCACAGTGTGGGAGCCTTTCCAGTGGCCCATCCAGCAGCAGAGAGGACCAGCTCCAGATGCAGGCGGCGAGCACCCTCGGCAGGTGTTCAAGAGAGGGCAGGTCGCTGCCTGGGGAGGAGGCGGGAAAAGGCCCCACACCTCCAGTGCAGGTGGGGGCAGTGGACAGGGGGACTACAAACCCCTCATGCTCCCAGGTCCTGGCGGCGCTGACCGGGGCCAGCCACAGACAAGGCTGGGTCGCTGGAGTTGCCCAGGAATGGCCCAGGGCCCAGGAGGGACGAGGACCAGGGCTGTGCCACCAGCCAGCTCAACCTACCTTGACGGCCAGTTCCCGCTGCCTCTCGTTGGGAGCCTCCAGGAGTGATGGCCGGCCCTCTGCAGAGAGCGGGGAGGAGGCGCTGGACGAGCCGTGGGCCTCGGAGTCCTCACTGGAGACTGGGGACAGCACTTCGGGGACTGGCCGCTGGGTGGTCTCCAGCTTCTCCCGCAGGAGCAGGTAGTGCCTCGTCTTCTCGACCTTCGGACAAGACCGCGAGGTCTCACCTGCTGCACCAGCCAGGGGAGGGCAGGGGCCCGGGCAGCCTCAGGGCTGGGCTGGGCCTTGTAGAGCAGCAAGGCCCTCTGGTCAGACCCCAGGAGAGCCTGTCCTTCCCCTGGGCTATGGCCAGTGGCCCTCAGTGTGTGAAATGAGCACACAGGTTCTAGGACCACACTGCTGACGGGACCCAGGTCCCTCATGGCCAGCAAACATGCTGCCTCCTTCTCTTTCCCACTTCCTGGCCCCAGCACGTGCCCCGTGGGGAGCAGATAACACCTGTCCTCCCTGCACAGGCTCCTGGGTGGGGGCCATGCCACTCTGCAGCACTGGTGGCCTTGGCAAAGGGCTGAGGGAGGGCAGGGGGCTCCGGGGCTGGCTCACCTCCTGCAGGAGGCTCAGCTTCTCCAGCTCCCACTGGTGGTCCAGGATGAGGCTGTCACTCCGGGGCCTCCAGCCTGCCAGGTTCTCCTCTCCCCGGACATAGGCCACGGATGTGTCCAACACTCGCCGGCGCCGGCGTTGCATCCCTACACAGGACGGACACTCTGTTCCTATCCCACCCACACCAGAGCGGCTGTCCAGCTGCTGAAACCTCCTCCCCTTGAGGGACGATCAGCTGGCCCATGGTCCACCCCGGGGCCCACAGACCCACATGGCCCCACACGGTCCACAGGAGGCTGTCTAGCCCGGCATCCCAGGGGGCCAGTTAGACCCACCACCTCGGCTGTGACCTGGGCAGCCCAGGAGCTGGAAGCCCGACTCCCTTCCCTCACTGCCACCCCTGATCAGTCACTCCAGAAGCCATAAGGTGAGCACTTGTATTTGGCAGCTGAGGGACCCCCACCCCTCCCAAATGGAAGCTTAGCTGAGGTCACTAGAGTGGACCACAGCCAAGCAGGCAGGAACCAGGGCCCTGCCTCCTGCCCCAGCCGGGGAGATCAAGGTAGACACCTACCTGGGCTGCCCGCGTCAGCCACATGGCACAGACTGAGCTCATACACTCCCGTCACGCGGTTGCTACAGGGAACAAGAGGGAGAGGCACACGTCGTCACCAGGCACAGAGACAGGGACACACAACTGGCCTCTCACCACCATCAAATGTACTCTGGGCACAAAACCCACCACATGCCTAAGCCTGGCAGCCTGGCACGGGGCAGTGCAGAGTCAGGATCCCTGAGCTGCAGCCCCTGCTCAAATAGTCCCTATCCCAGATCCCCCTGAAACTCAAAAAAGATGTGTCAGACACCCCTGATCAAGACCCCATAGGGGCCTCAGCTCTGTCCCGGCCCGTGGGGAGACAGAGGTGGTATGAGCACACTGGTCCCCAAACCCCCAGCATCTGGCATCACCAGTCTCTCCGGGCCATCGAGAGCCCCACAGGCCCTTCACCCCACAAGGCAGCTGTCCTGCTCCCAGGACACTGATTCTGACCAGGACACCCCAGTGACCCTCTCAAGTCCCACCATCACCAGGTGACCTTCCAGTGATCATGGCCTGCCTTCAAGATCACTGAGTCCTGACCCCAGGCTCCCCCTTCCCAGCTGTGCCCTGGGTGGGCCTGGACACTGGGTCCATGTGACAGACCATGAGAGGGCCTCACTGAAGGTGACCACGGGTGCCCAGCAGCCTTGGCAGTCCCTGCTACTGGGGAGGGCAGCTGCTCCCTCCTGCCCTGACACCTGATGCATTCCTCCCAACCCCCCACCCCCAAGAACGCAGGGAAGAGGTCAGAGGCAAGAAAGCCCCTGGCATCTGACGTCCGACTCCTCTCAAGTACCGCCAGCCTCTGAGAGGAGCCGCTCAGCACGCAGCCTGCGGGGAGCTCTGTCCAGAGTCCCCCCTTCCCAGCCAGCTGCTCCCACACCCCCGTATTTATCCAGCTCTTCCTTCAGGCAGTCCCCATGGCACAGATCCCATGGTCTCTGGGGAGGTCACCCGGCAGGGCAGGTGAGCACCTCAGATCCCTCGACATGGCGTCAGGGTCTCCTGCATGTGCTTGTGGGCTCCACTGGCCACCGTCAAGGCGGGTGAGAGGGAACAAAGCACCAGAGGCAGCCAGGAGCACGGTAGGTCCTCCTCTCCCCAACCAGCCTGCATGGGAGCTCAGGGCTCCCCAGACACAAGTCACCTGAGTGTCAGGCTGCTGGGGTGTGCCCAGGGCCACTTTCCATGCAGAGCTTGGCCTGGCCCTCACCATGACCAGGGCAGGGGATGAGGCGGCTCCCGCTCTGCCCACATCGTGGGCTTACCTCTCCGAGGCCCGCAGACTCCCACTGCCGAACAGATTGCGGATGGAGCGTGAGGCAGGCAGCTTGGCGTCGCGGGAGTAGAAGACCATGCAGAAGTCTTTGGTGATGACGGCCGGCTGGGTGCAGTTCTCCATCTGTGATGAGCGGGCAGAGGCAAGGGCTCGGGCACAAGGACACCCCCAGCATGTCCAGGCTCGGGCACCCACAGCCCCTTCTAACCTGCTCCTGGGGCACAAGAGCCCAGCACAGACTGGTAGCCCCAGACTTTCCCAGGGCCCCAGGCATGGCCTCAGACCCGGATGGAAGAGTCTCTGCTCCTGCTGCAGAGCCAGATACTGGCCAGATACACCACGAGAGCCGAGGCTCTGCCTCCAGGCAGCTGCCTGAAGAGTGGGGCCTCAGTGCACAGCCTCAGCTGCCTCACCATAAAATCAGGGTGATACACCCCAAAATATACATGAGGATCAAACCAGACCCTGTCTATGCATGCATGTTTTAATGCTTAAACACCACAGAAAATGTCTTCAGGTGGACTAGCATGTCACTCCTAAACAGCTCATTGCTTTGTCTTCCTGAAGTTCAGCAGGAACCCTGCTGTGCATGGCCAACGTGCACTGCGAACTGCTGGGACAGAGCTCTGCTAGCGTTTTCTCAGCCTGACCCCACCCCCATCTCATAAGGTCGCCACACACATTCCCCATGGCATAGCCAGAGTACTTGGGCTCTATGGAGAGGTGGCATCGCCTGCAGACACCCCACCTCCACCATCCCCAAGCTTCCTTCTCCCTCAACTATGGGGCCCCACTGGAAACACCCATATTCCCAACCACCTCCCATGTGACCACAGCCCACAGGCTGCAGGTCCTGGGAGCACAGGGAGTAGGGGTGGGGTGCTTCTGTTTCGGTGCCACCTGGAGCACAAATGCAATGTCTGTGGGTGCTGCAGCCTTCCTGCAACCCCATGGACAAAGTCTACACACTGAGGACAATGGCAGGGTTAGTTGTGAGCATCACTGTTCCAAGTTCACAGATTTGACTCAAGGACTTGAGTTGTCCTCCGAGAAGCAAATGAGGTCGTCTGGGGTTGTCCAGGGCTTACAGGTACTCCCACTACCCCCTCACAAGCGCCTCAAACACAGGGGACAGGGGGTTCTGGTGGAGTGGCCGGGGCACAGGTATCTTGCCTCAATGTAAGCGGACAGGGTCATGTAGATTTTCTCGCGGTAAGGGGTGACACGGTTCAGCAGGAGAGTGTTGTGCATAGAGCTGTCCCACGCAGCCTCAAACTGGTAGAAGGTCCTGCAAGGAAGCACAGACGAGGTAACAGACAATGGCGTGGGGCCGCTCTCAGCTGGGACAGGGACATGCAGGCAGGCAGGCAGAGACGCGAGGCGACCTGCGGGGAGAGCTGCTGGAGTCGGGGCCGGAAGCCCAAGCGGCGGCACCAGGGAGGACAAACCTCTCCTCACGCAGGACCGGGGAGGAGACGGGTGGGGGCCGAGGTCGGGGCCAGGCCCCCCAGCTTCCATCTGAGTACGGAGGTGCCACCGTCTCTCCCTGGACCTGAAGGGGACCTGCCCGGGTTTGCCAAAACCCTCCACGGCCCTTCTCCTCCATCAGCCAACTCGCCTTCCGTCAGAGGAAGCCTCCACGGGGAGGATGCTTGGGGTGGGAACCAGGCGGCCCACTGCGGACAGCGCAGCTGCAGCCACTGCTGCGAGCCCGACAGCAGCTCTCTACCAGCAAGAAGGACACAGTGGCCTCCTCTCTGTCCCTGATCTTAACCCGGAAAGACAATGATCAGAGTGTGTGCCAGCGGCCCACAAACCCCTCCCCAGGGCAGCTCAGGGCCGTCAGGAGCCAGGACTCAGATCCACTGGGGGGTCCCATCACACTCCTCGGACACTCCAGGGGCTCTCTGCCCCAGAACAGGGCTTCCTGTTACACGACAGGTTATTTTCAACCATCCAAAAGGCAGATTTCCTAAACTCTCCTTAAGCCAGGTGCTCATGTGAGGGCCGGTCATATTCGAGGTGGAGAATCTGACTCCATCCACATGTGGCTGCTCCACAGACCCCTGGCAGCACCGGTCAGCACCTCCCGTCCCCGCCGTCCACCCAGCCCTGCCCGGTTCCCATCCAAGCATCCTACAGACAGTGCAGAGACATGTCAACACAAATGGCCGGGCACAGCACATGCTCCAACACGGCCAGGCGCCTTCCTAGAGCGGAGCACAGGCTCACGGGGCGCACAGGCCACAATGGGGCACAGACGGCACTGTGCTGCCCCAGCTACGGCACGGCACAGTCCGGGACATGGAACGAGGCAGAGGGACTGGAGCAGGGCTGCTGTCGGACACACATCACTGAGGAGAGATCCAGGACAGGGTTGAGGACAGCAGCAGAGTACGGGGCAGAGGACAGGCAGACGTTGGTGGACAAAGGATCAGAAAAGCAAGAGGACAGACCAAGCGAGTGCAGAAGAGAAAAGTGAGCTATACCTAGTGTCATTTCCGAATGAAACGCTAAAGGCGGAGGCAGCCAGGACACACACATACACACACACAAGAAATGAAGACGTCAGAACGAGCACCGTCCCGCGGGCCCGGGGCAGCTGACGAGGAAGGCAGGCGCGTGCCGTGTCCCACCAGCCCCAGGGGCTGCTGAATGCCCATCCGCAGCCCGCCAGGCTCTCATTGTGTGCAGGGCAGGGGTGCCAGGCCGCCTGGAGCCCCCAGCCCTGGCACTGCAGATGCCCCCTTCCCGCAGGTCTGCGGTGAGAGCCTTGGATCCGGCCCCAGCTGCACCAGGTGAGTGCCCCTGGAACCACAAGGGAGGCATAGAGGGACCCCCTCCTCTCCTGGAACATCCCGAGGTCTTCTTGGGGCCCCTGCAGCCTGTCCCAGAACAAACAGCTCCAGAACACCCGGATTCAAAGCAGAGGAGCCGCTTCACAGCCACATGACCCAGCAGAATTGTTCCCACCTCATCAAGATGTCCCAAGGACCAAACAAGCTCATGAGAACGATGAGAACAGGGCCTGCCTGGTCCATGCCAGCATCACCGTCATCATCACGGCAATGCCCTGGGTAAGATGCAGCCCCAGGGTTCCCACAGTCCCGTGTCCTCGCACCTGGCTCAGTGCTGGCCCCTCTGTCCAGCTGCCTCCACAGTCCCTAAAGGACCATGGGCAGCATCTCGTCCCCTCCATCAGCTCAGCTGCTCCATCATCTTGTAGGCCCCCCTGTACCCGGTCTGCTCTACAGTTGGGGAAACAGGTCCAGGGCAGGGACGGGACCTTCCTAGGCCCTGCCACGAATGGCCGGGACCAGGGCCTGAGTGCCCAGCCCTCACCTCTGTCCCTCCCTCCAGTGAGGCCACCCTGAGCCCCTGCCTGCTGCTCCTACTTCCTAAGCTCTGAGAACCCCATTTTAAAGAAAGGAGTGGCAGGCAGGGCCAGGCTGCACAGGCAGAGATGCCAGGCAGGTGGCACAGGGTTGCAGTTCCTTCTGCAACAGAGAGGAGGGGCCTCAGGACTGAGGAGGCTTGGGGGCCTCCAGCCAGCATCCTGATCCAAGCAGCTGGCTTGAGCAGGGTGGGGCCTCTCTGATGGCTCTCCTCTGGCCTCAGGACCTCTGGCTTCTGCAGGGGTCAGGTCATGGGGGCCTAGAAACAGGCTCATCCCAAATTTAGCTCTGGGACAGGGAACTCAATGCTCAAACTGAGAACTCACTGAAAGAGTTTTGTTGACCAACACAACGGCGTACGCTGTGAAACACTATCTCCACCTCAACTCGCTCAGAGAGGCAGGACATGGTTCTGCCACAGACAGGCTCCAGGGACCTGGGCAGTTCTCAGTCCCCCACGGATTTGTAAAGTGGGGAACATGTGCTTGCCCTGCCTAACGGGAAGGGCTGTGCACATGGGCAGAGCCCAGGACAAGGCTCCAGGGGGCTCAGACTCTACCCACTCCGGCCAGAGGCTCAGTGGGGTCAGTCCCATCCCTGCTGGGCCTTCAGAATGGGAGGAATCAGCATCTTGGGCTCGCCACCCGGAGCGCCTGGCTATTCCGAATGTGACCAAAAAGGAGGCCTGCTGCAAACGGCCCATCAAAGCCTGTGCAAACAAGGCCACTCTTCTCAGGAGCGTCACGGCCGTCATAGGCAAGCAGCCAGGCGGGGTGGGCATCCTGATGCAGACGGCTTCACTGAGAACCTGAAAACAAAACCCCAAGGCTTCAACCAGAAACCCGTGAGGTCTGGGAAGTACGTCTCTAGAAAAAGTGTTACTTTCAGGGGTGGCCCAAGTTCACCAGAGCAGTGATCAGGGATTGAGTCCCCAGACTTCAGCCAGGACTGCACCTCCTCTCCCGTGGGGAACATGATCCCAGCAGGAGACTCAACCAAATGCAATCACTCGGCTAAGAGCAGGGGAATGTTTTCTGCACTCAGGGTCAGGTGTAACTCAGTACACAGCCAAGGGACACCACCCTCCATACAGCCTGAGAGCCCTTGGGCCAGAATGGACCAGCAGCCTGAACCTGGCACTACAGCCTGATACTGGCATTCCACAGGCTAAGCCACAGCAGACAATGGATACACCCTCGAGGAGGTGCAGCCGGACACCCCGAGGGCTGGGATGTGCCAGAGATAGATCCAGGGCCGCAGCCTGAGCCCTCCCTGCAGGTCAGCATGGGCCTCTCCACCTCCCTGAGTCCTGGTCAGCCCTGGTCCCTTCTTCCTAGCTCCTTGCGGGCAGCTGTGGGCTCCGGCCTGGCCTGACTGAGCCCTGCCCCTGGGCTCTGTCCTGTGGGGAAATATGAAGCTGGAAAACCTGGTCCCTACGCTCAGGAGCTCGAAGCCTGACCTGGGGACAAATACTCAGTAGATCAAGGCAGAGAAGGCAGAGATCTTAGACCTGCACAGGTGAGGAGGAGATGGGCGGGGTCAGGAAGGCTGCCTGCAGGAGGCAGCATTGCAGCTAGGTCTGCTGCAGATTTGGGCACAAGAGCTGGGATGGCAGGTGTGCCAGGTGGAAGGCACAGGGTCAACAGAAACAGGAGGCAGGGAGGGGGAGTGTGGCTGGAGAGAGGTGCGCCCTGTTCCCACCAGGTACCCAGCAAAAGAGGGTATGGCTCTGGCCCAGGCTCCACCTGGCAGGCATTGGGGCTGCAGCCCAGCACAGATCTCAAGGTGATCTTGAATTTCACCGCTCTCAAAGGTCTGTATCTCAGGGCTCGGCCTTGGAAGTCATGGTCCCAGGAGAATGGGGATCCTGGAGCACATCTGGCCTCAGAGGAAATGCCAGGTGAGGATTCAGTCTGGCCTGGGAGCCGACTCCCATCTGTCCCCGGGCCTCTGTGCTGACGGCGCCGCCCATGCTCCCAGCTCAGGTAGCCACCCCCTCCCTGGTGCCATCTCCACACCGGGACCGCCCCCCACAGTCCCCCTCCCTGTGCAAGGTCATCGCTGGGCCCTGGGTGCTGAAGCAGGGCTGGCATGTCCCATCACTGCCGTGTCTCAGGACCAGGACAGCGCCTGCTTGGTCGGTATCTGCTGTGGGGATGAAGGGGAGAGGAGGCGGGGGAAGGACGGGGGGGTGAGGACAGGTGAGTGCTCCATGGCCAGGCTTTGAATCTCCACTCTGAACTTCCTGGGGGCAGACCGTTCCTGATCTAGTCTTTAATCCCACAGGATGTGGCTCACCTGATTAGCTCAATTGTGTGTGACGGATGAGTGAGTGAGTGCATGCCGTGGCCTCACAAATGGCACAGCATGGAAGGACAGAGGGGAAACTGAGGAACAGGGCCTCAACGAGACCCTGCATCTGGACCCTTCCTGAAGAGGTTGGAGAAGCTTCAGGGCAGCAGAGCTGGGACAGTTCTTTGGGGAAACCAGACCCTGCGTGTGGTGGGGTGGGTGAGGATGACAGGGCCATGGGGCTCTTTGACGTCCTCGTCAACATCTCAGGGGAACCCTGGCTCCAAAGGGTCTGGCTGACCTTCTGCTCGGGGCAGATCCACCCGGGCAGGGGCATGGGAGACCCTGGATAAGATACAAGTCACCTGGGCAGACATTTAAGCGAAATCTCTGTTAAAATACGGATTATGTCACAAACACCCTTGCCCTCCACAACTCTCACGATGTCTCTGTGTGTCTGCGTGTAAGGGAGAGAGCGACACCCACAGCGTCTCAGTTGTAGCCCCATGAGCAAGATGGCAATGGTTGGTATAAGAAACAAACTTCTGCTCAGGAGCTATGCATTTTTACATTAAACACTAACCAGGTAGCAGTAATAGTGGCGCAACTCACATGTATAAAGTTACACGTGCCAGGCCCTGTGCTAAGAGCTTTCTGTGGATCATCTCATTTAATCTCAAAACCACCTGAGTCAGAAGCTCTTACTATGCCCATTCCCACGGGAAGAAAAACAAGATTCTAGAAGGTTCCAGAAGGCTCCACCACTTGTCCACATTCACACAATCATCAAATGGCTCAACCAGGCTGCAGCTGTAAGGCTCAAGGGTCGCTGCCCACTCAGAGGTCTGGAATAAGACCCTCCCTCTACCACACCCCTCCATCTGCTTGTCTGCAGCACCACCCGCAGCAACGGTTCCCTGCCGTGCAGAACTGGGCCCCGGGCAGGAGGCTCCAGCCCGAGTCTTGAGGCTCTGACCCCCACCCTCTCCTTCCCTTCCGGTGCTCTGAGCTCGAGGCCTCCTCCTGCAGGCCAAGCCCCAGGCCTGCTGCCCACCAGGGACCAACAAGCTCATCTCTGGAATGAGGGACAAGCCACAGTAGGGCCCATCCTCTCCTCCTAGCCCAGGTACGGGGGCAAAGGCCTCACAAAGTCCAGGGGACTGACAAGGAGGCCCCTGCTGAGGAGAGTCAGCTCCCGCTCTTTCTGCCATGCAACTGTTTGGTTGCTTTATCTGGAGCCTTCCTGGAGGCACCATGTGTTTGTATCTGGGGGAGTCTGGAACCAGCCCGAGTACTCCCTCAAACATATGGAAGTTATGGAACCTAAATGTTGGACAAACTCAAACTGGAACAAAATATAGACATCTACCCCCACACCATGAGGTCATACTGATGGGCCTGGAAGCTTGTGGGTGCCCAGGAAACAGCTCCTAAATTAGCTTCCCCTCCAGGAGATAAACCCGAGCAGATGGGCTCCTGAGCCCCAGATCGTTCTGATGGAAACTGCCTGAGCCAGGCCAGCTCACCTCCAGGACCAGCTAGCATGCCGCCTCCTCTAGCAAGTGTGCCCAGAGCAGCAGCAGGGAGAAGGGGACCCCTACTCCAGGCCTTGCAGGGCTGTGCCCCTCGTCAAGTACAGCCACCACCATAGTTGTCCACTGACAGGGTCTCCGCCTCACCCAGCTCTGGGCCCCCAGGGAGGGCTGATACAACCCCTGGCCTGCAGCAGTCTTTGGAAAAGATCTGTTCATCGAAATAGGTGAATGCACCAATGGTGAACCACAGCCCCTCTGCCCTGTGGGGTCCCCTCCCAGCCACAGTGGTTCTTGGGCTGCAGTTGCTTGGGGCAAGTCACAGTAACTATCACAACCTTGACCTGAGGAGGACAGGGCCTCAGAAGGTCCTGGCCATGCCCACCCACCATGCCCTGGGGCTCCATCTGAGAGGGGCTGGCACCTTGCACCTCCTGCTGTACAGCTTAAAGGCTTATATGATGTGCTAGAAAGTTTTCAGCTGCTCAGTTCATCGTTTCAAAGATTGACCTACAAGGTGACTGCCATGAAGCTCTGGCCACAATCTTGCAGGGCCCAGAAGGTGACAGTCTCGCCCTCCACCCACAGCAGGCTTGAGTTCTCTCTGGACAAAGTCTGGATTAGGGTCTTGAGGACATCCACCCCCAGGGCCTCATTGACCCTTGACCAGGCCGGGTGGGCAGGGGCCTCACTCAAGCTGGGGAAAGAAAACCACAGTCTCCCCTGCCCAGGACCCAGTGTGTCTGGTGCATTTGAAAGTGGGACAACCTCTTCATGAATTTACCACCTGCCACTTCCAAAAAGGATGTGTGGTGGTCATGGCCAGAGGAGCGTGGCTGGAGCTGCTGTCCCTCCTCTGGCCTGACCTGGTGAGGGGCTCGCCCACAGCTGTGGAATATGCTGGAGCGTGAGTCTCTGGCGTCTGGGTCCTGCCTGCATTCCCTGTGCTCCCGGCTCTGCCCACGATCCCTTGCGGGGGTGGGGCTGTTCCTCACGAGATGGTGCAGCCCAAGGCAGCCTGGCGAGTGGCCTGCATGCAGGGGACGCCTGCGCCCACCCAGCCGGGGCATTGGCACAGGGTGAGCAGGCTGGGGGTGTGGGGGAGCGGGAGGCCAGCCAGCGTCTAGGGAGGGCAGGGGACTACAGAAGCAGCCAAAATGAAAAGTGGGGGGCAAAAGGGACTCAGCCAAGGTGGGGGGAGCAATAAAAAAAATCAAAACAGTATTCCAAGGAAGTGAAAATAAAGATGGGAGAAACAGGAGGGAAAGGTGAGCCAGTTTAGGAAGAATTCGAAAAGCTGGAAATCAAACTCTCAGGGTGGTGGTGGGTGAACGGGGAAGGGGAGGGAGGAAAGAAGAGGCTGAAATAAACCAAGGGACACAAATGGTACCTAGGTATGTCCGAATCAAGAAACTGCCTGCAAAACACAAACAATCACACGGTTAGTGAGGGCTGGCGGGGGCCGGCGGGGGCAGCAGCGGGAGGACAGCGGAGGGAAGCCACCTGTGGCCAACAGGCCCACTCTGACCAGGGAAGCTGCCAAGTGCAGGGCCTTGGAGCAGGGCAGGGGCCGAGGCCGTGGCAAAGCGCGAGGGCAGCCCCAGGCCCCGAGGCTACAACCAGGACTGGATCTCCTGAGCCTCAGCGTCTGCGGGAGAGAAAGGCCTTGGAGCAGTCCACCCATCAGGGGGCTCTGAGGATGTCAGCCACCATCCAGGGAAGAGGAAGGCCCTGGGGGGAGGGGCCCGCCGGCCCGGCCAGCCAAGCCACAGAATGGCACCTGCCTGGGGCCACTGGCTAAGCAGGGTCCTGATGGAGACCTTTCTGGGACAGGGCTGGGGGTTGGGGGCTGCACCAGCATGGGCAGGAGCCAAGCCAGAGGCCAAAGCAGCTACAAGCAAGGTCTACGCTGCACCCCACGGACACGCCTTCCCCTGTCCTCAGACCTGGAACTGGATGGTCCCCAGAGCTGCCCTGGGACCGGCCTCACTTCTCACAGCCCCAGGGAGCAGGATCGAAGGCCCTGCAGTGATGAGTTCTTGGATCTCCAGGAACAGAGTGAATCTGCCTAGCCAAAACCCACTGGCCTGAGGTCCAGCCATGCACCCCACCCGCCTCCCAAGTCACCTTCGGAGTTAGCCATGGCCAAGCCTCCCAGGGCGCCCTGCATCAGCTGGGCTGGTGGGGGGAGGACAGGAAGACCCCAGAAACACAGCCCTCAGTGCATGGAGAAAGCCTGGAGACACCCCATCACCTCCAATACTCCCTTTCTGCTTCAAGACCCCATGAGGTGCTGAGGCAAAGGAAGGTCAGAGGTCAGGGGAATGAGCCTCTCCAGCTCCAAAGAGTCACTCAGCTTGGCAGATGGGCCCTCGTGGCCCCCGCCCTTCCCTCTGGGGTCCTGGTCCCCACCGCAGCACGGCACAGTGGCCCACACCCTGCAGTAGCACCTGTGGGGAAGGGGGAGCAGGCCTCTCCCCGCTTGGACAGGGTGTGTCTTGTGGCAACAGGAGAAACGAGGCCAGACGAATCCCTGGAGCCGTGGCCCACCCACTGTCTGCCTCACCTTCCCTTCTCCCAGGTGTGACCCCCCAGGCTGCCAGTCATGGTGCCACCTTCATGCGAGGACCCCCCCAGCATTCTTCACCCTCCTGTGCACGTGTGTGCAGGGCGGGCCCACATCTCCTGCCCTGCCCAGGTCTCTGCCCCCACCCTGCTGCTCCCCAATGCTACTCTGCCCCCCACCCTGACTCCCCTCTGGAGCCACCCACGTTAGCCCCGGTGCTGAGGGATGACCCCCTGACAGCCCCTCTCTGGGGTGTCTATGAAGAAACAGAGCTCTGTCTGGACCCAGGAGTCAGAAGAATAGGACATGACCCCCCAGGACCCTCTTTCCGGCGGACCCTGACTCTCCTTGCAGGGGTGAGGTCCCCTTACCCCCTCTGCAAGCACACCCAGCCCTCAGGATGTTTTTCCTACAAATGCAGCCACCAGGAAGCTGTGGAGACATCCACAGCTCAAGCTCCAAGGGTCAGCTCTTGGCTTCTGCATGCTGGGCCAGGTCGAGCCACAAGCAGCAGCCAGGATGGGGTTCTGGAGCGCCTGCTTCATTTCCCCAAACCCTGGAGAGCAGCATCTCAGACACAGCCCCGCCAGCTGGATGTGCCCACCCAGCAGGCAGCTCTCAGCAGTCCTCAGCTGCCACCCCCGGTCAGCCTCAGAGGCCAGCTCTCTCTCATCCTGCCCATCCTGGCTAACCTTGATAGGGCGGCCAAGGACGTCTCCAGGCGCCCAAATGTCCCCTCCACTGCCCAGATGTCACTGGGCTGGGACTGCCCAGGCTGTGAGGATCTTGGCCAACACCGAGAGCTTGGGAAGGGACAGTCCACTGACAGAAGTTCGCGCCCAGCAGCACCCACAGTCAGCCCTCCTGGGCTGCTGGACCAACAACACAGCTAGCTCCTAAACAGCCTGTGACCCCCAGGACCCCGCCAGAGGCCACGGGCCCACCCAGAGCAGTGTGGTCCTTGGAAATAAGGCCTGCTTGTCCGTCCACAGCCCACGCCACCCACCCACCTAGAAACTCCCAAGGTCAGGCCCTGGCTCATCTTCCAGCCCCAACACTGGCGCCTCTGCTGGGTGACAGGATGAACGTGAATGCGTGAACCAGCCACGACAGGGGACGTGCCAACAAAGGGGCCGAGGGACCACCAGCCTCCCCTCACCACACGTCCCTTGGCAGCTGTCAAGAGGAGGGTCAGGGACTGGACTCGTCCTGTGGCTGGACCCTGTGTGGCTGGGGTGGCTGAGGGCGTGGCGGCTGGGAGCATGCCCTGGCTGCTGACCCGGTCCTGTCTCTGGCAGTCGGGGACAGAAGCCGCTGCTGCCTCTCGGGACTCACCGGTCGTCTTGGGCTGGCTGGATGTATCCAGAGGAGAGGATATTGAGAGACAAGATGTTGGGGTCGATCAGGGACTCGTCAGTTTCGGGAGTGTTTCGGATGCGACCTATGGGAAAGGCAAAGGGCCAAATGTCACTTCCCGGGAGGGCAGGTAGGGACACTAGGCCCCACTGGCAGCCTGGCCCAGGCTCCCCACGTGGCCGTGAGAGCACCTGGTGAGAGGGACAGACAGGAGGCCTCTTGGGGTCCTGGACGACAGTGCCCTTTGCCATGGTCACACCTCTGCCGCCCTTTCCCGCGGTCAGGGCCCTGTTTCTCAGCCATCATTAACACCCCTCCCCTGACTGAGATCCCCATTGCTCGGAGAGAAAGCACCGGCCTTCCTAACTGTGGGAAAAGGAAATCTTAGCAAGATGAGAAGGAAGAAGGGTTCTCTCTTCTCTTTATACTCAGAAATAGTAACAATAGAGAAAAAAGTAAGGAAACACTATGCGTGCCATAAAATCTCTCCTTGCCAGGGGACTTTCCAGCAGAGCCCTCTAAGAGGCCTGCACTCGGGCTGATGGTCTGTGTGTCTGTGAAAGACTCAGAGCTGCTGGGAGACAGGACTGCTGCCTGGTGGCCTTACCCAATCATTTCTTGCCCTGGTAGTGACCGCTCTGCTCACTCAGAGGAGCAAACGTGCACATTTTCTTTGTCAATGACTGGCCTTCCCTCCCCTCCGTTGTACATGGAGACAAAGTGGACGCCAGGACACAGCCAGGACTTTGTGTCAGCCACACTGGGAGTGCCCCACCCTGTTCCTGGAACTTTGACATGGGACTTTGGTTCTGGGAGAAGGCAGGTGCGGGCTCCCGGCAAAGTGTCCTTTCTCCCCTCCAGGGACGGGGTGTGGGGCTCATCCCCCATGCCGGAGGCAGGGCCCAGGTGGGGGCAGGGCTCAGCCGGAAGAAAGCAGCCAGAGTGCTGCCCCCAGCTGCGCCCTGCCTGCTCGGTCTGATCAGGTGCCCGGCCCACAACACCCACGAGTCCCGAGTCCTGGGTCAGGGCAGAGACTGGGGACCCGGTCGCTCTGTTGTCCACACCTCCACCCCCTCCCCAGCCTCGAAGGCTCACCCACGCAGAGCTCACAGTCGCCCCAGGGTCTCTCCTGGACCCTCTCCCTTCTGCTGACCCCTCCCCACTGTGCCATCCATCTCCCAGGGCCTGAAAGTCCCACGGCCCTCCGGGGAGGCAAGCTGGGCTCAGGGAAGCTGTGAACCGTGAGCTTGGGGTCCCAGGGCAGCAGAAGAGTGGCCAGCTGCCCCCCAGAAAGTGATCACCTGCTCTGGGAAGTGAGTCCAGTCACAAGTCTGCTTCAGGAACCCAGAGAGGCAGACCTCAAACCCCTTAACCCTGAGTGGGGGGCCTTGGTGTTCACATCAGTGTCTCCCCAAATCCCTTTAAATAGCTCCCCTTAGGCTCCTACATAGACAGGCACTCCTGTTTGCATTCTCAGAAAGGGAGGTGGGAGTAAAGGTGGGATCCTGGGGGTTGGACCGGGATGTCAGCAGGTGGGTGCTGCCCTCCCCCCACCCCACCATCCCGTGTCCCCTGCCCTGCACCGTGGCCAGGTGCAGAAGCCTGACATGTGCCTTTAAATCCCATCACCGTTTTTAGGCTTGCCCTGAACAACATCTAAAGTGCGGTGTTCATGCTCGCTCCACACTTTTCCCGACTTGCGTGAACTACACCAGAACTTGTGAAGTAAAAGCATTTGTCCTGGTGTCCCCCGACCCTCCTTGCCCACAGTCCTGCACTTTGGGATGCAGAGCCCATTGCTCCAGGGTGGGGCAGGCCGGGGCGGGCACCTCCAGCCGACCACTCACTCGAGTGGAAAGTGAGAAGACGGGGTCTGTACGGTTTAGCAAGGAAACGCTTCCAGTAGACCCGCATTTAAAACACGAGGTCACAGAACGAAAAACTCTAAGACCCTTCGTGATTCTTCTGGGTTGAATTGTATTCTCCCAAAAAAGAGATTTTGAAGTCCTATCCCCAGTACCTCCAAATGTGACCTTATTTGAAAGTGGGACATTGCAGCCACAATAAGTTGAGTCACGATGAGGCCCTGCTGGGGTGGGACAGGCCCCTAATCCAGTATGGCTGGTGTCCTTATGAGAGCCACGCAGAGCAGAGAGCTCCACATGGAAACAGACCTGCAGCAATGCATCTGCAGTCCACTGCCCAAAGCTGGAAGAGGCAGGGGAGGACTGTCCCCTACGTGCCTCTCGCCAGCACGTTAACTTTAGACTTCCAGCTTCCAGAGCTGAGATGATAAACATCTGTTGTTTTAAGCCACCCAGTTAGCGGGCTTAGCTACAGCAGACCTGGCACACTAGTGCGCTGCTTAAACGGAAATCCAGGAGTCATCACTGGGCCCAGGGCTCTCCTTGACAGGCGAGGGACTGAGGCACAGAGGGGTTATGTGATTTAGCCCCGGTCACACAGCAGCAGGGACAGAGCTGTGGTTAGAACCCAGGCATCCTGCCTGGGGTCCACACTCTTCCCACCAGCCCAGCCCCTGCCCCCAAGGCAGCCCCCACCCGCTTGACTCACCCACGACCAGCTCGCGCACTTCCTTCCAGCGGATGTGGCTGCCTGTCTCATGCAGCAGTGTCACGGTTATCCGCCTCTGGATGCCCTGCCAGGTGCCAGAAGAGAGGATATGGTCAGGCGGCCCAGGGCCACGCAGGGCAGGGGAGGGGCACAAGGCAGGGCAGGGGCAGAGAGGGCTTCATACCTGATGGAGGAGGAAGGTCCCCATGCACGGCATGCCCCCACGGTGGTCCACCACGGCAGGGATGTAACTGGAAGAGAGACACAGGTGAGGGGCGGGTGGCTGGCCCCTCCTCCCTGCCCCACCCGCAGCACAGGCCTCTGGCCTTGGAGTGGGCAGGGGTGAAAACAGGAAGAGATTGGCCGCTTGTTCTGGTAAAGATCGGGTGGCCCCAGGGTCAGCTGGGGGCAAAGATGCCCCATGTGCCACCTCAACCACCACCCACCCCAGCGTCGCCCACTGCATTGGGAGGGTATCCGGCAGGGAGACAGGTGAGGCTCGCACCTCTGGGCATGGTCTTTGCAACAGCCCCAGCAGTCTCCCTGCTTCCCCTGCCCCCTACGACCCACACCCCACAGCCAGAGGGTCTGGGTAAAGTGGCAGCACAGCTCCTCAGCCCTGTCCCTCTCGGGGCAAGAGCTACAGTCTGCAGCAGGCCCCGCCCGAGCCCGTGAGCCCATGTCCCAGCTGCTTCTGGCCCCAGCTATACCCCAGCCGTAGCCCAGCTCCAAGCTGCTCCCCAGGGCACCAGGCAGGCCACCTCCTCTCCTTCAAGTCTTTACTCAAATGTCCCTCGATCACACTGTAACCTCCACGTCAGCCACCCCAGCCCCCAGTCCCCGACCCACACCCCTGATTTGTTGTCCAAGTGCTCAGCACCCCGGGGGCCACCAGTTCACATCTTTGTCTGTCCAGCTGCCTCCCCCATGCCAGCTCCTCCAGGTAGGGGTCTTGCCTGCCCTAGTCCCCAGGCCTAGCATAGGAGGTGCTCAATAAACACCTGCTGACTCAGTGCTGGGAGCCCTCTGGCTGCTCAATGCCTTGTCCCCTCCACCTCCCCTCAAGGCCCAGCCCAAGCCCAGCATGGGCACAACCATGGGCACTCACTCGCCATTGGCCTCCAGCTCGCAGATCTCGAAGTAGACCAGCAGGTCGTATTTGCAATGGCAGGGCCCCGGGCTGGGCCGTGTCAGTGTGCTAAGTTTGGTGGCAGGCACTAGGGGGTGAGAGGGAAGCATGCGCTGGTGGGAGACCTGAACCCCCACATGCCAAGGGAGGAGGCTGGGGGTGAGGTCCTCAAAGGCTGCTAGGACACCACCCCCCGTCATCACGCTAAGAGAAACAATCAGCAACCCCATCCCCGCCGCAGGCCTAGGCACAGTGCAGCCTCAGCAGCCTTGCACTGGACTTGGGACAGATGTGACTCTCATTTTCTTCATGCCCCAGGTGGGGGAAGCGCAGGGCCACACACACCAGGGCACAGGCCCTTAAAGAGGGCAGAGGCGTGAGACCCGAGAACATGCTTGCCCACACCAGCACAGGACCCCGCCTACCTGGCTTGGACAGAGGCATGACCCGAGGGAAGTGTCTACGCGAGGGCCTCAGGGGACTGCAGAGAGAGAAGCACCAGCGTGAGGCGACCCAGCAGGCTGGTGTCTGCGGGACCCGGAGCTGGAGCGGGCAGCCCAGGGCAGGAGCCGGCAGAGGGAGGCGGCAGCTGCTGACTCAGAGCCTGTCCCTGCGTCCTTTCCTCCCACCAGACCCAGGAAGCCCCAGTTCTCAGGCCTCCACCAGTCTGGATGGGAGAGGAGGCACCCTCAGGACCCCAGACCACAACCGAGGCCTCACAAGGTCACAGGAAACTGGGGGGAGGGGCAAGCTCTGGTTCCCAGTCCAGGGGCTCCAGGACAGAGCACTCCCAAGGATGGACGAGGCTCCTGGGGCCGAGCACCCCCAAAACAAAGCCTCTTCTTTCATGGTTCTTCTCTTCCCCGACACCCTGCAGTCCCCTTAGCTGAGGGGAGGGAGATGGAGATAGAAAGAAAAGGAGCCCAAGACTTATCCACGTCCTCCCTGCACTCTGGGCGGGGGTCTGGAGGGGACAAAGCTCTCCCCTGGGGCCACCCCTGGACACCTCCCATGCCCCACAGGAGATCAAGTCAAGGTCTGACAGTGAGGCTCTTTAAGAAAGCCCCTCCCCAGTTCTGAAGGGGAGAAACCAGGTGCAGGCCCAGAGCTCTGAACCCTCTCTTTGTCCCGCTGACCCTGGTAAATGGCCTCCTGCATAGACGGGGAGGCGGGTGGGCTCTGCAGTCTCAAGACTGATCTGGGCAGGGGCTTTGGGGGTGCAGCCTCCAACCCCACAACTTGGGTGCTGACCTGAGCACATCCTTGCAGAGGGGCGGAAACGGGTGCTGCTGGTAGTGGCCGAAGACCTCGAATACAATGGGCTGGCTCTTGATGTACTCGATGAAGGACTTGGTCACCTCCACTGCAATCTGGTGGGTGAGGCGGGTGGGAGGGAGGAAGGAGAGTCGCTTCAGCAAGTGCTCAGTCTCTGCGCAGAACCAAGCGCTCCAGGCCAGATCTGGGGCCGGCCAGACCCACCCTCTGCCACAGCAGGGGCAACACTGCTCACTGGGGCCCATCTCTCCTGGCCTCCGCTCCCAGCAAACACCCCAGTCAGAAAGGGCCACGTGGCTCAGCTGGCCTTTTAGAACACAGAGCTCGAGCAGGTGTTTGGGTCCCACCCACCCACCAAGAGCTACAGGTTATGTGTCCCCCCTGCAGTCCAAAATTCACGTTGAAATCCTAACCGCCAGGGCCTCAGAATGTGACCATATTGTGAAATGGGGCCTTTACAGAGAAGATCAAGCTAAAGCCAGGTCATCAGGGTGGGCCCTCGCCAAGTATGACTGCTGCCTTTATGAAAGCGGAATGTGGACACAGACACGCCCGGAGGGACAGAAGGCGGCCGTCTGCAAGCCAGGGAGAGAGGCCTCAGAAGCGCCAGCCCTGCCCTCACCTTCAGCCTGGACTTCTGGCCTCCAGAACTGCAAGACAGTAAATCCCCCTGTTTTCAGCTGTCCTATCTGTGCTACTTTGTTACGGCAGCTCCGTCAATGAATCTGCCAAGTCTCCACGCTTCAGCCTGGGCCCAGCACGCGAGGCCTGGCCACCTGGCGGCTTTAGCTTCCCTGCCCTGCAGCCCGTCAGCCCCGTTCTCCAGCCTCGCGGAGCAGCTCTGCCCAAAAGGCCTGTCTCTCCGCCATCCTGGCAGCCCAGCTCGTGACACTCTCCTGCCAGTGGCTTTCCCAGCTTCTCAGGATTGTGCCTGATGTCCTGCCTCTTTCCCACCCCCAATGCCCAGGCCATGGCTGCCCTCTCTGGCACCCCCAGCCCCCCGTGCAAACCCCGGCCACCACTGCACAAGACCCTGCATGGACGTCTGTCCACAGTTTGCTATGGGGGGGTCTTGGGGGCTCATATCTGCCCCCTCCACCTAGTTTTAAACCTGTCAAAGGCCCCTAATGCTGGAGGCCCAGTGTCCTCATGCCCAGGGAAGCTCCCAACCCACGGCTGGTGTTCGGAGAGGAGCAATAAATGATGGGAATAAGAAAGCTCCGCTTCAGGGGCAGCCTGGGGTGGGGGTGGGGGGCTCCAGACGTACATTTTGGACGTGGTAGAAGCCAAGCGGCGGCCCCCTGCCCGTATTCTTCAGAGGCTCGGTGGAGAATGCCTCGTCGTGGCGGTGAATGAAGCTGCAAAGCAGGAGACACTTGGCTGGGGGCAGGGACCTGGGACGGGGACCCACGGCCTGACTGTGCGAACCAGCATTGTGTGGGGTGCACATGGGTGCGTGGGGCCTGTACGCTGGGCCGACACAGCCCCCAACTCAGTGTGCGCCTTGCTAAGTGCCCAGGCCCCCGGGCAGCCCAGGGGACTCAGACAGCGGGGCTCACTTGAACTGGCAGAAGATGTCGGCGTATTCTGCGGAGATGCTGGAGGCCTGCAGGACTGTCACACGGAACGTGAAGGTGCTGCCCAGGCGGAGGTGGTCCAGGGCCGCGTCCAGGGGCCCATCCAGGGAGGCTTTCTCGGGGCTGTCTAAGAGGAGGCCCTCCGGAGGCACCGCTGCCGGGAGCAGAGGGGACAGCAACAGTGCCTTCAGGCCACACTCTCTTCAAGGAACAGGGGTCAGGGCGGGCTCAGGAGCCCAAGCCCTGGGCAGCAGGGCAGTGACCTACCTGAGCAGGTGTTGTTGTTGACCTCATCTGCTGAGGGCCCCGCATCAGCGCCCTGGCCCTGACCTTCCACGATGCGCAGTTCTTCCTGGGAGGTCCCTGAGCGGGACATCCCTACCACAGGGCAGGACTCGGACTGGAACTGTTGGGGGAACCAGTGTCAGAGAAAGCCCTGGAAAATGGATAGCTGGCCCGGGATGGGGCTACCGCAGCCCTGTCGAGGGCCCAGGGGATGACCGTGCTGCCCAATCCTGGCAGAGCCTGCACGGGCCCCTCCCCTGGCTTCTCCTCTCTTGTTTTCAGGTCACAGGTAAACTCTTTCCCCTCCTGTGCATCCCCAACACTGACGACCCCTCTCTTAGAGGTGCTGGGGGCAGACACATCACCCTAGGCTCAGGACACTGGGCACTGAGGTTCCAGGTGATGGGGCGGCCGGGAGGGTGCAGGTTAGAAGAAAGTCTAGGAAAGGAGAGGAAGGCACCGCCAGTGCACAGCCTGCGGGGCACGTGTGGAACCTCCTCCCCCTCCACTGTGTCCAAGAGCAGAGAAGGAAGCCTGGGTCTGGTCCAGGTGCTGCTGGACACAGCACTGTCCCTTCCCATGAGGACCAGGGTGGGGGTCCTAGGCAGGTGCCCTTCCTTGTTCTCACTGGAGTGTCAGGCAGGGAAGGGCAGCTAACAGGGGGTGGAAATGCCCTGTCTTTGGCGACCCACAGCAGAGCCGGCCAGGAGAAGGGAGGCCAGGTTCTCAGCGTCTGTTCCGGAAGCTCATGTTTCCTACTGGCTCTGCCACTTATAGGAGACCCAGAGGCCCATGGAGGTAGACAGGCAGATCCAGCGGGTAATGGCAAACCAGGGAAGGGGCACGTGGTGTCTTTTAAACATCGAGGAGGGAGAGGGAAGAACCCCAGGAGGACACATGGTCCACAGGGCAGGACTGGAGCACTAGGGGACAGAGCAAACAGGACCCAGCAAGCAAATGGCACCTCAGGGCCTGGGGTTGGGGTGGGAGGGCCCCGAGCCATGTACAGGCCAAACCTCGCATGGTACCTTCTCGAAATGCTGGTCATCAAAGGAGATTTTAGCAGTTCCCGACTGGCGGACGCCGGAGCCATAATCGGGGGCCTCTTCGTCGGCTGCAAGAGGGACCGAGCAGATGGCCGCAGTCCAGCCCGTCCCCCACAGTGGGTAAAGGCAGGGCTGGGCCAAGCTGCCACGGGGTTGGGGCAAGGGGTGGCCTACACCACCGACCACAGCTCGGTAACGCCAGGGCCCGTACCCCTGCACGCTGCCCACCAGCCTCCTGTCCCCGCCCCACATGCACTCAGGGGTCCTCCCAACCTCTCCCTCCCCTCACTGTGCAGAGCCGACCCCGCGAGGGCCTTGCTGGTTTCACCTTCAGAATCGCAACATTTCCTCACCGCCCACGTGAAGCCACCATCACTCGTCTGGACACTTAACAGTCCCCCTGCCCCCACTCAGTTCCCCGGCCCCCTCACCAAATGCTCACATGCTCCCCGACTCAAAGCTCACAGCGGTTTCCCACTGTGCTTGGGACAAAACCCAAACCCTTTTCCTGTTGCCTACAACCCCTGACTCGGCTTCTGCCAGCCTCCTCAGTCCTCTGTTCTGGGCCTCCGCTGGTCTCCCTCATTTCTGCACAGGCCTCAGGGGACTGTCACGCCACCCGTGTGAGCACTAATGCTGCCTGGCTCTCCGCCCCGCTGCCCAAGGCCCTCGAGCTCTGTTCCGCCACAGTCCAGTGCTGGCGAAGGCCTGCCCACAGTGGGGCTCGATGCAGAGAGGACACATCAACTGATCTCAGCCTGCAGCCATGGCAGGACAGGTGTGACCTGTAACCTCCAATGCAGGGGTCGGTGTCTCTGCTAAGTTCTCTCTCCACCACCAGATGGAAACATTAGGTGTCGCCCAAAATGAAGCAGCTGTAGGACCATGAGGCCCGGGACCCAGCGCGGCTCAGGAGCAGAGCTCTGGCCGGACCCAGGCTCACGTCCCCCGTGGAACCTGGGGTAGCAGGTGCTGTGGACGCTCGCAGGCCGGGCTCAGAGCTCCTGCACACCTTCCTAACTGGCGACTGTCATCAGAGAAGTGGGGGACCCCCTCAACCCCACAGAGTGCAGGACAGTGACCCTGGAGGTAAACCTTCCCGCAATGCTCCAGCTCAGGACTCGGGTCCCTCACCAACCCCCACGAGGACCCCCAGAGGCCCCCTCCCACAAGGGCTGTGGCCCGGCCCCTGGCCTCTGGTGAGGCCCCGTTCTCAAAGAGGTGGCTGTCGGGGTGAGGGCCAGTGGGAGGAAGAGGCCAGGACGGCTTGGCTCTGCCCAGTGAGGGTCAGAGCTGCTGGAGCAGGCGGGGGCGAGAGGCCTCCCTGGGAGAGGAGGGGCGCTGGGTGTTCCTCGTAAACACCCACTCCCCAGCAGAGGCGTCGGGCGTGAGTGGGACTTGCTGTCTGGGCTTTTCCTAGTGCTTCACCCTCGCTCCCATCCCAGGCCCCCCTGACAGGTCCCCTGGGTTCAGCACCGTGGCATCACAGTGGCTGGATTCCCCTGTACTAGCAGTAACGGGCATCTTGGCTGGTAGAGGTGCTGTAAAGTGCATTAGAAGTTACGGGTTAACGAGAATTTGACAATAGGGTCAAATTAACTAATTTAACTAATTAGGTGGAATTAAAATCACCTAAGCTGGCCAGGCTATCAGGGCAGGGGACACTGGCCATCTCAGCCTTCTCCAGGGCACCCGCCTCTGAGCTGCCCCAGCTGGCCTGCAGCCACGCCCCCTCCCTCCTCCCGCCCGTCTGCCTGCCCACTCTCCCCCAAGGTGCCGGGTGGCCAAGGACAAGAGAGGAAAGAGAGGAAAGAGAGTCAGTCCCCGAGGACGATAGAGCATGGCGGGGGTCGGGGCAGAGGGCAAAGAAGGGCACCGGGTGCCTGGTCAGCCCAGCACTTTCACATCTGTGTCCCAACTGAGTTTTCCACATTCCTGCCAGGCAGGAATCTTTAAAACACGATCCCTCCACAGCTGAGCACGCATGGCTCAGGCGTTCTGCAGCTGGGCCATCGGGGAGGGGCTGGTCTCCACCTCCCACGACAGAGGGGGCTTGTATCTTCAGGCCCGTGTGTGAAGGGAGGGTCTACAGCGGCCTGGGAGACGGGATGTGCCCAAGAGACCCAGGGAGCACCAGTGAGGGCTGCCCCGGGGTAGGGGGTCCAGAGCCAGGGGCCAGAGATCTGCCAGCCCTTCCCAGGGCTGTGGACAGGGGGATGGGGGCGAGCTGGGAGACAGCACCCGCTCTGCACCAGGCTACAAGGGGGAGCCAGGTGGTCTCTGGGTCCATTTCGAGCTACCTGATGGAAAGGTGGGGTCCTGAACCAGAGTGGGCTTCCATGGCCCAGGGGTGCCCCCGCCAACAAGGGAAGTCCAAGAGGCCACAGCCAAGAGCTGGGCCTCTCCCTTCTCCCAGTGGGACTTCCCCTTCATGCTCCCTGGAGGCCCGCAGCCTGGGGCCAGCTGGGAGGGGGTGTACAAACAGCTTCAAGTTGGCCCCAAGGTGACCGGCTCCACACTGACCCCTGCATGATGCCTGCAGAGGCCCTTCCCTGCCAGGGCCTCTGTCCGCAGGGCCCCAGTAGCACCCACTGCTAGCTGCCCACACGCACCTGAGATGGCCTGGACAGCCACACGGAGGAAACCCTTCACTTCGCCCTTCTCACTGACGATGGCCACGCGGTGCACCAGCGGCACGGGGTACAGCAAGTTGCTCAGGTACACGAAGGCCCTGGGGGAGCAGAGGCTGCTGTCACAGGCCACCCTCGGCGCAAGTTTCGAGCGCAGCGGCGGCAGCACGGCCCGGCTCACAACACGACACAGAGCTGCACAGCAGAGCGAAGCCATGGGACAGCCGGGGGCGGAGTGTAGCGAGGGCGGGCGGGGGGCAGGCGGGGTGGCCGGGGAGGGGGGGGTCCCCAGGTCTGCGGCGCTCGGAGCAGACGGGAGGAGGTGGAGGGAGAGAGAGAAGGAGGGGGCCGTGGGCACAGGGTGCAGCCGGCCGACCCGGACCTGGCTGGCTGAGAAGAGACCTGTGCAGGGGGAGGTTTCAGCCTGCTTCAAAGGGGGCTGCGGGGCCTGGGCCGGGCCCTGCACCACACTGAGCTAGGACCCTCACCAGGCTCTGCCGCCCACCCGCCCCCAGGAGCCTGATGCTCAGGCGCTCGGCAGGTAGGAGCACCACGGTGAGGCCACCGAGACTAAGCGCCCTCACCTGGGAGGGAGGCTGACCGGATGAAGGCCTGAGGACACCCCCAGACCCACAGTGCTGCCTGGCCTGCCCCGTCAGCGACCAGAGAACCAAGACCCCTTCCTTTCCCAGGCAGCTCCATCGCATGACCCCAGCCAGTGCCGGGACCAGCCGGGGCAGATGCCAGTGGCCGGGGCGGCTGCGCATTCCCTGAGCTGGCCAACATGCAGGTCACACAGGCAGCCAGAAGGAGAAGACGCCGGAAGACCTACATCACCTGGCCAGGTTGGGGGGCTGTTGCGGCACAAAACCCCCCACCATTCAGCAGCACCCCCTGGCAGTGGGGGCACCTGGCACAGGTGAGCCACACTGTGGTGAGGACGGCCGCTCTGCACCGACTCCACCCAGGAACCTGCCCCCTCAGCCTGCCACCGCCCTCCAGGCACACAGTTGACCAGGCAGCCACTGCTCCGGCCCAGAGGCACAGACATCAGCAGCCCTGAGCTCCCAGAAGGGCAGGTGGGTGGACGGCACTGCCTGGGTGCGGAGGGGCAGGATGTGGACATGGGAAGGTGGGAGGCAGGGGGAGGAGGTGCAGAAGATGGGAGGTGAGGGGGCAGCAAGGCAGGAATGGGAGGGGTGGGGTCAACAAGGGAGAGGCGGCAGAGAGGCGGGGGTCTTAGCCGGAGGGGGGGTGGGGGGACAGTCTGCTGGCCAGCTGGGCACTGACCAGGTTGCACAATGGAGCAGGGAGGAGATGGGGTCACCTGCCCCTCTCAGGTCAGACACCACCCACTCTGCACCCTCGGCCTCTCCCCACACCTTGAGCACTGGAAGGACACCCTGCTCCAGACAGGTGCAGCCCTGAGCGCTGTGACCTCAGGCAGCAGGAAAGGGCCCTGCCTATGCCCATGATTCCAGAGCTGGTGCAAATGAGGGAGCAAGTGGGACGGAGGTCCCTGCCCGACACAGCCCTGGCACCCTCTCACGGGGGCTCCAGTTCCTGCTTCCCCTCCCCATCCCCCTGAACTCCCCGCAGCACCAGCCTGGCTCTCTTTTGCAATCAAATCCATCAATTCTGCCTCAAAAGTCTCACCGAAGCTGCCTTCGCTGGTCATCATCACCAGCCATTCCCCACCCCTGTCCCCATGGCCACCCCCCCAGAAGAGTCCCAGGGCACAGATCAGGTCAAACAGACCCCCACATCCCTGGTGACATTCGAGCCCCTCGCAAGGGCATCTAAACCCACAATGGGCCAGCCTGCCTCACCCACCCACCCCGCCAAGTTCCAGCCACAAGGGCCAGTCCATCCCTGGATGCCCAGGCCCATCCCTGCCACCTCCTCAGAGGCCCCAACAGCTCAGTGTCCTGTCAATGCCTCCCTCACAGCTGCCTCTGCTGGCTGTGACTTCATACACCCCTCAGTCACCAAGACAGGTCTCAGCTTAGGACAAGGGCACAGCTGCCTTCAAGGGGACCTGGAAGTCTCCCTGGGCTGCCTACTGGGACAGAGGAAGCCCTGACTGCTTCTCAGTGTCCCTCCTCCCCCAGCATAGCACCCCCTCTGAACCCCAGAGGAATGCTGGCCCCAGTCACAGAGTACCCAGTAGGCAGGGACCAGCCAGCTGCCCCTCAGGATGGGGAAAGCGGTGGCCTTCCCTCTCAGGGCACCCAGGTTCCTGGACAAGGGCTTTTGCTTAAAAGTGGGGGCCGGGAAAGACTGCCATGAACTAAGCAAAGTGATGCACGGGAGCCAGGACAGGTGCGGGTCCTGCTCTGCCTCCCCGACAGCTGGCCGCCTACCCCGGTGGAGAGCTGAGACCAGGCAGGCCAGCCCCGCCCTCCAGCACCTACCCCATCCTGGCACATGGCCTCTGCAGAAAGCCCGGTGCAGGGGGCAGAGGGGTGCTGAGGATGTGGAAGGTCTGGGCACGGGCTGGCTTGTGTGACTCAGGGCACAGTAGAGGTGACCCACAAACTGAGCTCTCCAGGACCACACTACAAAGAGGTCACCCCTCCTTCTGAGCCCACAGGGTCCCACACCAACCCACCTCCTGACTCTTCTCCACTGCTCCCAAAAGGCAAGATCCAAGAGGGTCTGAAGCAGTGCATGGAGAGGTAAACTGAGTCAGGGGCAGGACTGGGCCTGGGTCCCACAGCAAAGCTGCTACAGGTAGGCCTCATCCTAGCATCTCCGCAGGGCCCACTGCTGACACACCCGATCCGGAACCAACCGTGGTCTCCACAGTGGATGCACCCCGTCCTGTCGCCACCCCGTGGGCCCAGGAACCTGCAGCACAGTTCAGATGCGAGCCTCCCGCAAATCAGATGGGGCTGGGCTCAGGGACAGACCCGGGCCCCTCGTGTCCCCCAGCCTCAAGTGATCCCACTGTGAAGCCACATGGCAGCTGCGAAACTGAAAACTCCAGTGGGGAATCACAGCTGGCAGTCCCTCTGAGGCTCCCTCGGGGCCAACACATGGCAGGCAGGTGTGCCCCATCTCGTCACTGGGACACATCCGAATCAATGGCACATCTTAGCCTTACTAGCTGCACCCTTCCTTTCAGGGGTGCACGGAACAGATCTAACAAAACGTGGCATTGGTACCCCTTTAACAGATGAGGAAACTGAGGCACAGATTCAGGAATGGCCAGGGTCTGGCAGCAAGGCCCGAGCTGGGACTCAAACCTGCAGGTTGGCTCCTACCCAGCTTTCAACCGTGTGGATGCCAAGCTCCATGGCCTACCTGCTTAACTAACACAGCTAATTACGGAGATCAATTCTTCTGTGGTCTTTCAGAATTTCCTCACATCAAAGGGAAACAGAACCCACTGCTGGTGTTTGAGCTGTCGGGCAGAAGGTAGCCAGGACCACCCCAGAGGCAGGGACTGCCTGAGTGGGGGCCTTAGGGGACCTCTTGGTTGGAGGTTGGAGTTATACAATGAAAATAACCCTGGGGTCTGGGGCCAAACCCTCCCCCGTCCTCTCTGAGCCTAATGACCCAGCTGTGGGCAAGTCTCAGGGTGCTCACTCCAGGGCACCCAGGATGCCCAGGAGCAGTCCCTGGATCTAGCTGCATGCAGCTCCAGCGCCGGATGTTCCAGAGGCAAAGGAAGCCTCACTGGCTTCTCTTTCCTCCTGCTGCCCGTCCCTATCCCATTGGAGATGGTGACAGACTAATTCATCCAGAAGAAACTGAGGCACAGGGTCCACTGGCCCCGGTGGCGGCAGCAGCTAAGGGGGCTGCGAGCTGGGCCTGGAAGACACCCCCACCTATGCAGATCCCACCCGACCCATGCACCAGGGCACAAGGTGCTGGGGCTGGGTAGTGCAGGGCCACACTCGGAGCCTTGCCACACTCTGCCCAGTGGGAACAATGCTCCAGGGTCTCACACCTCTCACAGGCCAGGCAGACTACACCCCTAACCTGCCCTCCACGTGTCAGAGACAACCCAGCATCATTGCCTGCCATGGTGGGGGCCACAACACAGCCCCAGCCCCGCCCCTGCTGGCCATCGCCACACCACACCCACCCACCCACAGAGCATCTCCCAGGGTCTGAGAAATGCCACCCGCACCCCACACACAGCGGCACCTGCATGGGAGCTGAGAGACCAATGGCCTCACCAGCCAGGGGGCACAGTCCTCTTGCCGGGTCAAGGTTGACCCACCCCATCCTGGACAGTGCTCTTGGGCTGTCACCTCCTCTCCCTGAGATGCTCATCCCTCTTGACTTCCTCTCTCCCTTGCCCACCCACCCTCTCCTGTGCCACCCACCTTCAGGAAGTGTCTAGTCCCAGTGGGGAGGGTTAGCTCGGGAAACCAGAGCCCCCAGGCCCACGTCCTCAGCCTGGGCAGCTGTCGCCACCTACCCACTGCTTCCCCAGTTCACCTGGTGCCCCAGACCGCAGAGATCCCCAGAGGGGCTGACGCTGGCCTAGGATGAGGGCCCTGGCTCCAGTGCTGGACGGGCCTTGCCATAGAGGCTGGTGTACCTTGAAGCAGACTGAAACCCGCCCCCGAGAGAGGAGGCAGCAGAGGCAGGCAGTGCAAGGGCTGAGCACGCGGCGGAGGGAGGAGGCGGGCGCTAACCACAGATTGGTGAGGTGCAGAGACGCATGCTGGGACCCAAGGGAGCCTCTCGAGAGGGGGCAAGAGTGGGCGCCCCAATTCTGCTTAAGCTTTGGAGAGAGAGCCAGCAGCTACCAGAAGGATGAAGGAAAATCAACGTGGGGTCCTTCCCAGGGTCTGGGCCTGCACAGCTGCTGCGCGGGAGAAGCCAGTTCTTGCCAGACCAAAAGGATTGGGATGATTCCAAATGAAGCCCTTCACAGACCGCCCCGTAGCACAGGGCTGGCCTCTCACGGATGACTTTGGTTTGGTTTGGTAGTTTTGTAAGATCTCAAATCCACAAGGGGGAAACAATGTTGGAAGGACCCAGCTCTTTCTGGCTGAGACTGCAAGAGCCCACACCCTGTTTCTCCCAGTGTCCTTGTCCCCACAGGTCCTAATCCCTGCCTACCTGGCACCTGGAGCCGCTCCTGGGGCCCAGCAGGTGCAGGCCTGGCCCTACAGCCCAGGCTTCCTAAGAGAGGCCTGCGTGGAGCTGGCCTCAAGGCCTACAGAGCAGTAAATCCTGAGACCTGCTGCCTTCCACGAGGGAGGGGGTTTCCACCCCAACACCTCCAGCCCAGGAGTGGAGCAAGCCCTGTGCACACCCGTGATCTGGGTCACCCTTGGCCTTCAGCTTTCAGTTCTGGTGCTCCAAGCTCAAGCCTTCCAAAAGCTTCCATCGGCCTAGCCCAAGGAAGGAATCTCAAACCCCAAATACACATATGTAAATTATAAAACAAAATATGTGAATTCAGCTATTTCATACGTCAAATTTCCTCCTACTACTTCTAGGTTTCTCGATCTTTCCTTCACCTGTCTCATTTCTCTTCAAGATCATAAAAAACATGGATGGCGACTGTATTTGCCAAATCTACCTGTAGGGTGGTGCCCTCTGATCCACCTCCTGACCTTGGCCTCTCTTGTCCATTCGGGAACGGTAATAACCAGCTCCTCTCTGCAAAGGGCATATCCTGTCAGGGCACTGGGCCATGTGCCCCCATCTCTCGCCATGACAACCTGGAAGGTCAGGAGGGACGGAGCCGCCCTCACCTTTAGATGGGTGCACAGTGTGCCCAGGCCCCAGGGCTCACCACGCTCCTGGAGGGGTCCTTCCCAGGCCCTTCCCTGCTCTTGGGACAGCTTCCCGAGTTCTGCTCCTGCCCTACAGAGAACGGAGCAACACCGAGGGCAGACTGGGAGCCTCCATCTCCTCTGGACACCAGCGGAGAGAGGTGCCGCTGCCTCACCTGGGACGAAGCTAATCCCCAGGACGATGGACTAGGGATGAACTCAGGCATCGGGTGCCTGAGCCAGCAGCGGCCACGTCTGGGGTTCCTACGGCCTCTGCCGAAACAGTTCACCTGCTGGGCCTCGGCTGTGTGCTTGGGGCACTGCCTCTCTTCTAGCTGGGACCTGGGCGCCCCCCGCTGGGCCAGTGTGACCGTCTCCAGGATCAGCCCCCGGCTCAGGGACGCCCGGGGAGGGCTGGGGTTGCGCCCTGGCGGCGGTCAATTGCGCCCGCAGCAGTGCTCCTGAGCGAAAGAGCTGGTTCCTCCCCAGCATGCGGCCTCGACCTCACCAACCTTCCTACTAAACTGAACAGGGGGGGCCGGTCGTAAAACGGGTCCCGGCCGTCGCACAGCGCGTGCTCCGGAAAGACGTCGTCCTCCAGGTCCTCCTCCTCCTCCTCCTCCTCCTCCTCCTCCCCCATGCTCTGCTCCTCGGCAGGCTCGGTGGCGTCGGAGTCGGGGCTCGAGAAGGTGGGGGAGGGGGTGAGAGCAGCCATGCGCTCGCTCATGCATGTGTTGAGAAGAGGGTGGCTGCTGCAGCCAGAGATGACTGGGCTGAGGTTAGTGCGACAAGACAGAGAGAAGTTAACACCAGCTACTCGCGGGGACGCGCAGGGGCGGGGCAGGGTGGGCGGGGACGTCTGTTTAAACCAAACCAAACACACAGACCATTGAGAATGCTGCCTCAAAAGATGAGAGAACCGAAAACGCACTCCATCCCCAGGCTTGGAAAGACCCCACGGGGGTGGTCAGCTGGAAGCCTCCGACATCACAGGTGAGACTGAGAACAGGGGTCCTGGCTGGGCATGGCTGAGGCCGGGCGAGGACCTCGTGAGCTTGGCCGTGTTGAGGCCTCAGAACACCACAGCCACGTGGGGCACGGGGCATGGGCACAGGCCTCGCATGGGGAGACCAGCGGAAGGAGGCAGCGGTCTCTACAAATCGGTGACACAGCCCTGCCTCCATGCTCACACCTTCAAGGCCACCAGGTGATCTGGAAAACCTGCCAAGGCCTGTGGACACTTAGCAGCCCATGTGTTCACACATGTGGGTACGTGGGCCTGGTGGGTGGCAGTATGGAGACCCCATCCCCGGCTCCTGAAATAAAGGGCCTGCTGGTGTGTGGAGAGCTATGACCGGGAGCAACCCTGGACCAGGGCAGGACAGGGCAGGGGACTGGGGGGGGGAGCATCTGGCAGCCCCTTTCTCACGTCGGGGTGAGGCCAGCCTGGGGTGCAGGCCTTGGAAGAAGGCCCATCCCTGCCCCACTGCCGTCGCCCACCCCTCTCTCTCTCTCTCTCTCTCTCTCTCTCTCTCTGCCCCTCTGTTAGCTGGGAAGGGCAGAGGCGCCCACCTGCCCACCAGCTGGAACCAGGGGAAGCGGTCATAGAAGGGGTCTCCACCGATCACCACGTTGTCGCAGTCCTCGATGACGCTGGAGGGCACCTTTGCTGCCCGGTCACACATCTCCCGCATGAGGTCCAGGCGCTGCCTGCAGGGGCGGCAAGGGGCGGTGTGGGCTCAGGCCGAGCTCCCAGCGGCATCACGTGCCTCGTCCTCCCAGGACAGCAGCCAGCCGAGCTCCAGCCACAGCCCAAGGTTGTCAAGGCTCAGGGGTCTGCTGGACAGAAACCCCGCCCTGGCCCTCGGGACTGGCCGCCCACGAGTAATGTTCCTTCTTGCTCCTGCCCACCCCTGGTGCCTCCCGTGTGGCCCTGCAGGGCATGCCCTGACTCTGCCTCCAGGGAGCCATGAGTGAAGTTCAACTCTTCTTTCAAAGGCATGCCCTCCCCCTGTGGCCCCTCAGTCACCTTCCTAAATGAAGATCCAGAACCAACAGTGGGTGTGTGGGGTGGCAGAGGCAGAGCCTCGGGAAAGACTCTTGTGGTGACAGTGGGCAGATGGCGGCTGACTCCCAGCTGTCCTCCTCGCCCAGCCCCTCCTACGCCTTCCCTGCACTTGGCTGAGGGCACCTCCTCCCGCAGTGTCAGGACAGAGGGCGAGGGGGTTCCTTCCTCCCCCTCTCCCCGCCTCTGAGCTCTGCTGGCTGCCGTGACACCGAGCCCCCTTCAAGCCCTCTGAGCTTGTCCGCAGCCTGGCAGGTGCCCCCCATGGCCTGCCCCCACCTCCCGACAGCATCATCATGACTTAGGTCTGCCCAGAGCCCACTCGCCCCATCCACACGTTCCTCCATAAGAAAATGCCAAAATGTACTTTTTGTGGCAGGAGGGGACTATGGATTCTGTAACACTGGACTCTATTCGCTTTTTTTTCCTTTCGATTTTAAAAGAATTAAAGCAGGAGAAACAGCTACCTCTGCAGGTGCCCACTGTGAAACCTGTGCCCATCTCTGTTTCCATGGCCTCAGCAGCCCAGGCCCAGAAGGAAGCCCCCACCCGCCCCGCCGTGCCCCTCAGCTGTCCGCAGCCACACCTGAGTTTCTCCAGCGTCCAGTAGTGGGTGGCTCCATTCTTCTGGTCCTGGACCTCCACGGCCACGATGGTGCGGGGAAAGGGGCGCGTCTCTCGGTCTTTGGCGGCCTCTGGGGGCAGCAGGTCTGGGGGCAGCGGCGAGTAGAGCGTGTCCGTGAGCAGGACAAACTGGAACTGGACCTGTGGTGGGCGGAGGGTGACCACTCATCAGCCCCTGGCGGGTGGGGGCCATGTCCCAGAAGGGCTTCCTTCCCACCTCCCAGAGATCTCAGCTGCCCGCCCCACAGTGGTGCACCAGAACCTTCCAACCAGCCACTGGGGGTGACCACGTGGTCCCCTGCTCGCCCACCTGGCTACCATCTCCTCTGAGCAGGAAGGCGAGGCGTCCACCCCGGCCAGTCCCAGGCCTTCCTCAACGGCCCACCCTTCCGGGGGCCCGGGTCGGGCAGGGCTGCTCCCCCCACCCCAGGGCAGGCAGAGGGGCCTGGTGCTGAGTCCTGGCTATGAGCAGCCATCCCCGCCTTGCACGGGTGACAGACAGAGCCAGCGGGGCAGAAGCCCACCTTCTTCTTCAGCTCAACGCTGATGGCGTTGGCCTCCTTGAGGAAGATGGCGTTGCCCCACAGCAGGTCCCGCAGGGACGTGAACTGGTACCACTTCCACTTCCGGAAGGCCCAGAGCGCCAGCTCACACTCCCTCTCTGTCCACTGGACTGTGGGGAGAGGCCACACGTGGTCATCGCAGGAAGGCCATGACACTACCTACCACACCCCGCCCTCTGGAAGGTCAGACTGGGTCCGTCACTCCAGGGGGCTCCCAAGCCAGCCCTGTGCCTGACGCTCACGTGGCTGAGGGAGGGGTCAGCCACACGAGAACATCAAAGGCCACCGCAGCTAGAGACGGACAGCAAGGGCAGGCTGGCCACGCAGGAGGGACGGGTCCAGGCCCCTCTCTCCCAGGTTCTGCAGCTCTGGACAGCCACCCCTGCTGTGGCCTGGGCCAGCGGCTCCATGCTTGGGTCCCTGACTTCACACTAACTATTCTGGGTACGCAGAAAAAAAAAACAGCAAAAAGATGTGCCACAGCCAGCAACAAGAAAAGGCTCCACAGGCTCCGAAGAAAAGAGGCCATCAGCTCCCCGCGCGTGAGCGTGACTGAGAGTCAGGCTGAAGGTCACAGTAGGGGGGACAACACTGCCAATGACAGCCACAGGAGCCATTTGGGGACAGCAGTGGGATGGGGGACCCACAAGAGAGGAGGCAGGAGACAGACTGGTGCTGCAGGGGTGGGGCTAATCCATACGCCCTCTCCCAGCACCCTCACCCTCCCTGTCCACAGGGCCCTGCAGGGACACAGGAGGGACCTGTCCTTGTGCCAAGGCCCTGCCCCTCCTCCCAGCACATCCCCACTGACCTCCAGCTGTCCCTTCCCATCCAGAGACCCAAGCTTTGGAGCAGGGAGGAGCCTAGTGGGGCAGACGCATTTAGAGGACAGGAGAGACCAAGGTCACACCAGCACAAGATGCTGACCAGCTGGCCAGAGGCTGAGACGGACTCAAATCCTGACTCGACTCCACCAGCCGATGCTGCCTGTGGGCTGCCCTCACCCCAGGCAGCCTGAGTCAGCTGGGTCGGCCACTGAGCAAACACTCAGGAAGGCAGTCCTGAGGCGAGGGTCACAGTGGGCCTCGTCCTGGGTGTCCACCAGCCACATGGCCGGCAGGACAGGGTGAGTGGTGACTCCTGTCAGCAACGTGTGTGTGCACACCCATGTGCACACTCATGAGCACGTGTGTACGTGTTTGCACACAAGTATGCGCGTGTGTGCACAATGCGCGTGTGCACGGAGGTGTCGGCCACCCCTGAATCCTGCCTCAATGGTGCTTCGGGGGATAAGGACCCCAGGGCACAGGTGACAACCAGCTGACCTCCAGGGAGGGGCCTGGGGCTGCCTCTTCTCCAAGGCCCTTCCCCAGCCCAAGGCCCAGGCCCTGCCCCCTCCATGCTCCGCCCAGCACCCTCACCTTCGTCCTCCGGCTCCTCCTCCTCCTCGTTCACCTCCGGGTAGTACCTGGAGCCCATCTGCTTCTGCAGGGCCTCCAGCTTGCTCTCGTAGTCCTGCGGAAAGATGCTGGCCGTGTGGCTCCACCGTGGGGACTGAGGCCCTCCACAGCCCTTCCTCTGGGCCTTTCATCTGCATCCGGACGCAGCCTCACCACATCCCCCTGCTCAGGGCTGGGCCAGGCGAACAGAGGGGGCCAAGGGAGACCCCTTCTGGTGTGTCGGGGCCTGGCGGGGCATCCTCACCAGCCTCTGCTGCTCCAGCAGGTAGGTGGCCTCCTCCCGCTCCCGGCGGTACTGGTCCTCCAGCTCCTGAAGCCTGCAAGGGGCAGCAGGGTGAGTGCGGGCAAGCAGGCGGGCAGCACGCGTGGCGGGGGCGGCAGGCGCGGGCCTCACCTCTGCTCCATCTCCTGCTTCATGTCGATGCCCTGCTTCTCCAGCAGCTCGCGCTGGGCGAAGGCCCAGTCCACGGGCTCGGCGGGCGTCTCTGCACAGGGCGTGCGCTCGCGCTCCTGCCGGGCCTGCTCAGGGTGGTTGAACCGGAACACGTGGCTCTTGCCCATGATGATGCGGTTTCCTGGGAGACACAGGCATTCACAGGTCTTGGGTGGCCTCGAGGGGTGGGGGAAGGGGAAAGGGGGTGCAGGCACTTCCTTGAACTGGGCCTCCCAGTGCCACCCACCATGGGAAGGCCCCCAACCCCTAGGAGCAACCCCACCTGTTCCAGAGTCCCAAGCCACTCCTTCCCTGCCCCTGACTGGAATCTGCATAGGCCTCCCCACCCTCCTCCTAAATCCACCCCTCAGGCTGCTCTCCACTCAGCAGCCAGTGACATTTGCAAACCACAGATCTGGGGCCTGTGCTACGCTCCAATGTCCCCACAGTGCTGCGCTCCCCGGACCAGCCTTGCCTCCTGCCCTTGGGCCCTGGCCACCCACACCGGCCCCAGACACTCCTATGCACACAGCCAGGACACTCCCTCCCTCCCTGACACATCCAGGGTCTGGGGCTGCGTGCACCCCCAGGGCTGAACATGGGCCCCCGCAGAGCACTACTGCAGGGTGCTGCATCACAGGCTGGAAGGGCCCTTCTCTTCCCATCTGTCTCCCCATAGACTGGAAGCAGAGCCAGGCACCAGGGTCAGGGGCCGCGAGAGGCCAGTGGCGAGCAAGAACTGGCAGGCAATGACCACAGGGAGGCACAAAGTCTCAGAATCGGGCCTCTGGGGCGTCGGCTTCTGGCCAGCCCCTCCCACCCCTTTTCTTAGGGCCCACCCAGTGTGCAGGGCCCTCCAGAGCAGAGACATCCCACCAGGCCAGTGCCTGCTGTCTTCGGACAGCCCTGTCTTGACGAGCTCTCTTTGGATGGCCCAGTCTCCTCCAACTTCCTGAGGAACCGCAGCTCTGCCTGCGGGTCGGTCCTCCCTCTGGCCCCCTCACTGGCCCCCTCAGCTGGTCACTTCCTCCGACTTCCCTGTCCTGCAGTCCACAGGTGGCAGGCTCAGACACCAGGAGGGAAACTCCACGCCGGCTTCCCCTCTCAGCCCAGGCCCTGCCCTGAGCCCCATGGGCCCCGGGGCCAACCCCGAAACAAGGAGAATGGGAACATGGTCTGTCTGAGCTGCCATCACCAGGCTGAACCACACAGCTTCCCCACTGCGGACGTGGCAGTGCCAGGCATTCAGAGGTCTGGTGCATCTCTCCTGCCAAAGCCTCCCTAGGACCCCCGAGGCAGCACCTCTGAGCCCCGGAAACTTCTACTGGAAGCTAAAAGCCCTTCAGGGGTGGGCAAATGGGTGTCACCTCCAGCCTCCTGCTCCCTCTGCATCCCCCAAGCTGGGGTGGGGGAAGGGTCTTCCTCATTCCAAGCCAAGAGCTCAACCCTGGCCAAAGTGGATGGATGGTCCGTTTTATGTGACAGCATGGCCAGGCTACAGCACCGGTGATCCAGTCAAACACTACCATCAGACACACTCTGTACACGTGGTCCACATACAGTCAGCTGGCTGCAGGTAAGGGAGAGGACCCTCGAGAAGGGGGGTGGGCTTCATACCATCACTAGAAGGCCTTAAGAGCAAACAGGCTCCCCAAGGAGGAGGAAGCCCCACCTGCATTCTGCGAGTCGCCCGCTCCTGCCCATGGATTCAGACTACCCCGGCCAGCCCCGTAGTCACATAAGCCGATTCCTTGCAGTAAGTCTCTTTGTGCGTACGTACACGCGTACGCGTGGGTATGTGTGTATGTGGTCTCGATAAGGATCAGTCTAGTCTACTTGCTTCTGTTTCTGTGACAGAACCCTAATCGTACACGCAATAATGACATCACTCAGGAGAGCCACCTTACAGATTCTGGCCTTTCTAAAGAAGGGACTTTAATGCTGCATTTTTTAACGTCGGGGGCACAGTCCCCACCCAGCTGACCACAATACAATGCCTTGGTTCAGGGAAGCATCTGTCCCCCTGCCCTCTGCCCCCGCCCAGCCCCACCAGGGCAACATCCAGAGCCTCTTCCTGAGCAGATCCCACCTTGGCCCCCCACTCACCCCACAGCATCAACTCAGTACCAAGGGGTCCCAGAGTTCTGTGGAAGGGCCTGCCACTGGGTGCCCTGAGAGGGGGGCAGTGAGGAGCCATGAGAGATGGCAAGGTGACCGCAGCCCCTCCCCAAGTGCCCCATGGCCCTGCAGAGCTGTGGTTCCTGCTGGAATCAGGTGGGCACGGGAAGGGCCTCAGCCCACGTCCTGGCCAACCCACAGCCCCTCACATGCCCAGGCGCACCTGACCGCAGGATGCTGGGCTCCGTGACTTTCTTGCCGTTGACATAGGTGTCTGCCCCGTCGCAGGGCTCCAGGGTCACCACGGCTGCAGGACAGGTTGGGGGGCACAGAGGAGGACCGTGAGAGCCATCACCTGCAGCGGCTCAGCTCACCTGCCCCGTTGTGTCCCCACCCAGGCCACTCTCCTAGCCACGTAGCTGCAGCGGCTCAGCTCACCTGCCCCGTTGTGTCCCCACCCAGGCCGCTCTCCTAGCCACGTAGCTGCAGCGGCTCAGCTCACCTGCCCCGTTGTGTCCCCACCCAGGCCACTCTCCTTCTAGCCATGTAGCTGCACCACTGGCGACACCTTCTGTGGCCTCAGAGGAGCCTGAGGGGTCTCAGCCCACTTAATAGAGGAGGAAAGTGACCCCGGGATGGAGACGCATGTGCCCAAGTCAGAGTCAGGGAGCCCTGCTGGGCCTGACCTCCCAGTCCCTGTCCAGCCTCCAGTAGCTGATGTGTCCCGAGGGCTCCCCTCTGGGCTTTGTGCCCTCTCACACAAGAGATGGCAGGGTCTTTGCAGACAGAGGAGAATTCTGGGAGAGACAACCACCGCCAACACTGTGTAGGGCCACCATCCTGAGGTGGCCAAGTTGGGCAGCAGGCTCGGTCATCGGGCTGCAGATTAGAGGCTGGCCAGATGCCTGCCTGGAGATGCCCTGAGCTCAGGGGCCATGGGCACTGTGATGGCACCATGATGGCAGGCCCATCACCAAGATGGGCATCACCGGGTAATAGGACTGCCTTGCGTCACCTTCAGGAGGGAGGCCAGTGGGAATGGACAGACAGCCACCCTACCACCAACGGGAAAGGAAAGCGTGGTCTAGCCGTCACCTGCAGCGGCTCAGCTCACCTGCCCCGTTGTGTCCCCACCCAGGCCACTCTCCTTCTAGCCATGTAGCTGCACCACTGGCGACACCTTCTGTGGCCTCAGAGGAGCCTGAGGGGTCTCAGCCCACTTAATAGAGGAGGAAAGTGACCCCGGGATGGAGACGCATGTGCCCAAGTCAGAGTCAGGGAGCCCTGCTGGGCCTGACCTCCCAGTCCCTGTCCAGCCTCCAGTAGCTGATGTGTCCCGAGGGCTCCCCTCTGGGCTTTGTGCCCTCTCACACAAGAGATGGCAGGGTCTTTGCAGACAGAGGAGAATTCTGGGAGAGACAACCACCGCCAACACTGTGTAGGGCCACCATCCTGAGGTGGCCAAGTTGGGCAGCAGGCTCGGTCATCGGGCTGCAGATTAGAGGCTGGCCAGATGCCTGCCTGGAGATGCCCTGAGCTCAGGGGCCATGGGCACTGTGATGGCACCATGATGGCAGGCCCATCACCAAGATGGGCATCACCGGGTAATAGGACTGCCTTGCGTCACCTTCAGGAGGGAGGCCAGTGGGAATGGACAGACAGCCACCCTACCACCAACGGGAAAGGAAAGCGTGGTCTAAAAATAGTGTTCCACCCCAGGTCTGGGCTCACTCCTTATGCTCTCTGTCCTCTGCCCGTGGACACCACCCACGCTTCCTGGCCAGCAGCCCTGGCACAGGGCAGCCCACCCATGTCCCCTGCTCAGAACCCCACCCATGACCCCACACCCCCACCCTTCATAGAGGCGCAGCTCCCTGAAGTTGCACCCACCCCTGGCTGCAGGAGGCACCGAGCCATTTCCCAAGCACCTTTCTAATGGCAGTTGTCACTGAGACCGTCCCCAAATCTCACACATACACACATGTCCTGCCCAGAAGAGTAACTCAGGTCAACTCAGAGCTGGGAAGCTAGGAGACGGCAACAAGCCAACCTGGGGCAGAGCCAGCAAGCCTCACTTGGGCCTGATAATCAGCAGCACTGGCGCAGGGGCGGGCGGAGGCAGGCGGGGCTGCGGGGCACCGGTACCTTCAGTGCCTCCCCTGGAGTCGCTCCGGAAGACACAGTGCTCCTCCTTGATGAAGTGCCCGCTCAGGACGATGTCCTGCCGCCGCTCCCCGTCTTCCCTGCCCACTCTGCGGGGAGGGGGCACCGTCAGCAGCACGGCCAGGACTGGCACCCCGTGATGCCGCCCCCACCCTCCTGCCCCTGCTGGCAGCTCCCAGGGAGCTCAGCTGGATCTTTCAGGAATCACCCAGGGTGCGTGTCTGCGTGGATGTGGGAAGCGAGAGTGGGTAAAAAGTTCCTTCTGTGAGGGCAGCACGGGCTGGTGGGGACGGGGAGTCCACCCCCTCCCACTGACCCCCGGGGTCCTGGCCTGGCTGGGAGGCCGCCCCCCACCTGGTGGTCCCATCCTTGATGTAGTAGAGCAGGCACTCGGACATCAGCGGGTCTTCGTTCAGGTTGACCAGATGTGGCGTCTGGGAGGACAAGGGGGTCACTGTCCTAGTGGAGCCAGCGCCCAGCACTGGCCACCCCATCTGACCTCCCCCAGGCGCCAGGCCACCACCAGTCCCAGGCCTGGCTTCTCAGGGGACACAGCGTCCTCCTGGCCTGGCAGAGAGGACAGAAGCTGTGAAGGGAAAGGCCCCCCGCGTGAGAGCCTTTGATGGACACCCAGGACCCGGAGCTCCCAGCTCAGCCGCCTCACCAGCTGGTGGCTCCCAGCCAGGAAATGCAAAACAAAGAAAGCCCTCAGCCCAGGCCCAGCCACCTTGACAGTGGCTGCGTGGGTGGGGGCCTGGCCTCCCGCACATGGCCAGGGTGAGCCCAGCATCCCAGCACTTCATGGGGAGCTGGCCTTCGGGAGGGGCTAGGGGCCCCTACTCTCAGCTCTTGGGATCCCAGGTGGGCTCTGAGTCTGTGGTGGGCCCCCGGACACACAGGCACCAGCTGGGTCCCAGCACCAGTCCTGTACCTTGTCCTGTGGGGCCCTGGGCACCAGGCTCTGGACCATAAAATGGGGCTCCAGGACCCTGTTTCAGCTGCAACAGCCCAGGAATGTGGGCTCCCCAGTGGGATCCGAGAGCTTAGAAGAACTAGGACCCTGGCCCGGGGTGGGGGAGGGGGCTGAGCGTGGGTGCTAGGGAGTGGGGAAGTTGTGACAGATGTCCCTGTCAATCCCCACGCCGATGCCACTCCTGTCCACAGCTCCACCAAAATCTGGCCAAGTCCAAGTGACCACCTCCCACCAGCCACCTGTGTGAAGACTGCCCTCTGCTCCCTGCCCCACCCTGTCCCTGGGTCAGCCACAGCAGGCCTCGCCCAGAGGGGCCAGGGACCCCCATTTCCCTGCCTCGTCCACTCTCACCCTGGGGTCTCTCTGGGTCCCCACACTCCCTGAGCTCAGGAATGCCCTCCACATGTCCCAGGCAAGAGTCCTGAAACATGGCAGAGGCACCAGGCTGGGACTGCTTCCCGTTTCCCAGCTACCCCCACTACAAATCCCACAGTGCCCCCACCAGAGCCCCAGTGCAGGGTTGTGGAGACCTGGTCATCAGACACAGGGGACAGAGCATCCCTGCCCTGAGCAGGCAGGGTGTCAAGCCAGGAAGGGCCAGGCTTGCCGTTGTGGGGCTTGGGGGATGGGGGTGGCCTGCAATGTCAGGACCCAGCTGGCCTGTGCACTTCTCCTGAGTCCCAGGAATACCAAGTTTCTCAGGACAGGGGTCTCTGGTGGTCCTACTCCTAGGCAGTGCCACCAAGGAAGCCAAAGTTCTCCAGGGTGCCTGGTCTCCTGAGGGAGCCCCACACACCCCCAGGATATGCCCCACCCCTCCAGGAAGGATGTCCAGGGAGCAAATCAGTCCAGACAAAACCAGAGGCCTGTCTGGAAGGTGTGTGGAGTATCCCATGGGACACCACTGCTCCTGCCCTGCCAGCACAGGGACCTGCCGTGGTTCCCCTGTCTCCTCCTGCCTCTGGGCCTTAGCACGTGCTGCTCCCAGCCCTGGACCAGGGCCCTGCCCAGCCCCTCCCAAGCTCTGGTCACACAGATGACCATCCACCTGTCCAATCCCCCACTGGACACTTGGTGCAGGGTAACAGCAAGCCTCGGTGGACCCAGGCAGAGGTATGGGTGGAGTGCCCAGCAAGCCTGGGGCCCCTCTGCTATATGGGACAGACCAGACTCCTGGGAGCCTAGGGACATGAGTACCGGAAAGAAGTCTCTTTTATATAATGCACTTCCCATTTGGGAAAGTTTAAGCTGGCACGTGGTGGCTTGGATGGCCTGGCGGGGTCCACAAGGATGCCCTGCACCTGGGCCCCCTTCCAAGGCCACTCTCCACGCTCCCCAGTGCTACCATCAGACAGGCAACGTCCTGACGGGCCCAGCTGAGGACAGGCCAGTGCCCAGGAAGCCACCCCTGCCAGTGTCCAGCCAGAGTTCAGCTTCCAAGGGGCTGGACTGGTCTGGCCATGTTTGGGGTGGTTACATGGGGTCTGGGCAGTAGAGTCAGCAGACAGACTTTCCCCAAGTGTGTGTGCTCTGTCCCACCTGGCCTGCTGGGGGACGCGGGATCATACACATTGAAGAAGCTGCCCAGGAGTCTCTGTTCCATTTGCGGGACCCCAGCTGGGACCAGTGAGCCAATTGGGACTGGGTGGTAGAAGGAAGTCCCTACTCGAACCCCCAGGAGGCAGCCGGCTCCCAGTTCCACGTCCAGCCGAGCCCTGCCGTGAGCAATGCAGGCTCCAGGTGGGCCCAGGCCCCACACTCTCAGGTCTCCAGCCTGAGTGTGGCTCCACAGCATTGCTCCAACCTTGGAGGGCCCAGTCTACACCTGAGACAGCTGAAAGACCCATCTGATGTCCCAAAGCCACCAGGAGCCCCACCATGAGGACATGGGGGCCATGCCTCCCACACCAAGGAAGATCTGACTGTGGTTGAACATGGCCACCACAGTGTCTGGGCCAGACCCCTGCCACACTCCCCCATCTCAGGAGCCTCTCTGGCCTCCATCAAGAACAGCGCATCACCGGCCTGTCCATGTCAAGGCAGCACCAGGGACCTGGGACCAGCTCCTACCTTTTTGGGAGAGAACACACCCAAGGTACCACCATCTTCCCTCATGGCCACGCCCATCTCGGCCAGCAGCGCTTCCCTGGGGGGACAGAGCTGGGGTCAGCACAGGCTCCACCAGGCTTCCAGGACTGGCCTCACCCCTGACTGACCAACTGACCAGGAGCCAGGCCTCTGGCCACCGTGGCCCATGGGAGGCACCCACGCTGCATCTGTCCCATCTGGTCAGTGAGTTAAGACATCCACTGATGGGACTGACCCTTTTGCACTACGTCCACCCAGGGGTCAGGTCTACCAGGCCTCAGTGACCAGCAGCCAGCAGTACACAAGGTGGGGGTCACTGAGTGAGAGGGGACAGACCTGTCCTGTGAGGAAACACCACAGCCCCAGGGTGTGGAAGCCCAAGGTTGGAGGGCAGAGCTCGGTGCTCATCCTGCCTGGGCTGTGCTGGCCGTGCCCCTCCCCCTGGGCCTCAGTTTCCCCACTGCCCACCTCTCCATCCGGATGGCTTCGGTCCGCCGCAGCTTCTCCTCCCAGGTCTCGTTGAGCTCGGCTATGATCTTTTCTGTTTCCTGGGGAGTGAGACAGAGCAGAGTGAGGGTCCGGGGCTGGTGCCGGGCTGGGGGGCTACAGAGCCCAGATCCCTTTTTGTATGAAAGATTGAGGGTAAGCTCAGAGGCCATGTGGCTTTCCTGTGGACACACCCGAGAGAACAGGAAAAAGGCAAAATAAATCTGGAGAGAGACAAAACAGATGCTTCTGGGAGACGCTGAGTGGTGGTTCCCCAAGCACGGCCGTCTGTCGCTGCCGCTGAGAGCCCGCGGTCCCCACCCCTTCTCAGGACATGGGTGAAGCTTCCCAGCACCAGCATGGTCTCTCCATTTCCTCCCCACCCACGCCCCAGGTGGGGCCCCTGCTCCAGGGTCACCCGGCTCCATCTCACCCCCACCCCGTTCCTCAGGCCAGCCTCGGCAGGGCCTCTCTGCCTTTATGCCCTCAGCGCTCGGTCCCCAGGGTCTGGGGCACAACCGTGCAGGCCTGCACTGAAATGGCTGTTCCCCGAAGGAACATGTGAATGGAAAGTCTAATACCAGTCAAGCCCATCACCGGGGGTTGGGGAGCTCAGCCCTGGGCAGGGGGCAGGCGGGTGACCGTTCACATGCAGGTGTGAGCACAGGCAGCCCGGAAGGGGCTCAGGATCCTCACAATGCCTGCCTGCCCATCCTTCCCAGTGAGTGCAGGGTCTGTGGGACACGGGGCAGAGCTGCCATGGCCTTGACAACACCCGTGGAGGGCGCTGGGGGCTGGGAGGGAGAAGACCCACTCCACACCCAGGGACTACGCGGTCACTGCGCTCCACCACGCGCCAGTTCACGGATTAGAGTCAGGGAGGGGAAGGCTGGGTGCCAGGCATCCGGCGCTGAGAGCTCCCCCTCCACACTGGCTCGCGGGGCCACAGCCATCCAGACACAAGGTCCGGGGCCTTCACAGGCACTTCCTGCCCAGCAGCAGAGTCTTGTGCAGCCCACGGCCGGGGGACCCCTGCGTGAGCTGGGCTGCCCTAGCTGCAGTGGGCAGGCTGGGGACAGGCCTCAGCTCACCTGGGTGGCCATATGCCAGCCACCTCTGCTGCTGCTTCCCTCCGGCCCTGCAGGGATGGGCTGTGCCCAAGGAGGATGACGCTCGGCCCTGACATCCGGATGCAGACTTTCCTCATTCCTCTAAGCCCACCCAGCTCCACTGGCCTCAGCCAGCCCGGCCCTCACCTTCAGCCTTTCGATGGCCTCCTCGCTGCCCGGGGCAAACAGGATGCGCTCGTGCAGGCTGGACACGGAGGCCGCGCGGCTGGACAGGGCCGAGAGCGAGGATGAGGGGCTCATGCCCACCAGGGCGTTGGTCACTGTGGAGAGATTGTCAGGGGCTTGATGCAACTCCACCCCGCCACAGTTACGGTTATTGTTCTCAAGGTCGAACACATCTACGGGGAGGAAGGGAAGGACAGGCGGACAGACAGACAGGAGGAAGAGAAGAAAGACAAGTTGGGAGACAGCAGGAGGTGGGGCCCAGAGAGGGCAAGACAGAGCCGCGGGCGGGCGAGGCGCGGCAGACCCGCCTGGTGGCCCAGGATAAGCACATGCAAGGCCCTCCTGCCGTCCCTCGCCCGCTGCTGCGCCACTCGCCCTCCGGGCAGCAGCATGGAGGCCCCTCAGCACCCCCTGAGCTCCATGCCACCCCGCACTGTGCCAGGGTTTCTGCTGCCTGGCGCCTGCATTCCAGGCTGCAGCCTCGCATCTGAGCCCTGCCTGGCAGCGCCCTGCACCCAGGACCCCAGCACTCATCCTCATCTTCTCTGTGGGTGGGCTGCCCACCCCTCACACCCACCATTGGCCTGGGTAGCCATGCACCCTGAGCTGCAGGGCGGGGCCGCACTAAACATCCAGCCTGCTGAACACAGAAATCGGCCCAAGACCATCCTGGAGAAGATGAACGCAGGACTCTCCAGAGGGAACCCCCTACTCCTCCACCACAAGGAGATCTGGGCCCACCACCCCAGGGCTCAATCAGCCTTAAAGCCCCAGAACTGGAGCTGCGACACCCCCTGGAGGGGGACGTGCCCAGGCCCCTCTTAGCAGAAGCAGACACATAGCAGAGCAGCTGCAAACCTAGGACAGCACGGGGCAGGGGGAAATTGAGGGTGCCCTATGGTCCCCAGGCCAGGGAACCAGCCCCAGGCCAGAAGAGGCACAAAAGCTGGGCAGGATTCGGCAGTGTCCACATGACAGCTCAGACTTTTGGCATATTCAGAGAGAAGGGACCTGGGGTGAGAGGGGGCAGAGGGAGGCCTGAGCCAGAAGCCAAGGGACGGGCCTGTCCAGCCCTTAAAGCCGACATTCTGACCTTCCCAGGCTTCTGGGCATACTGGGGTGGGGGGTCCACTTTCAGCTTGAGAAGAACCTCAGCTACACCCTGGCCTCCCTGTTGCTCAGTTTCCCATACAGGACACATAGGAATGAGCTGGGAACACAGGCTCGTAGGCAGAGGCGATCCCACATCCACCAGGAGGTGTCTGTGAGAGAGGGGGCTACTGTTTTCTGCCCCACAAAGGAGGGGAAAGCAGAGGAGGCGGGGGGGGGGGTCACGCCTCCCCACCCGCCCTGGGGTTCGCCCCTCTGGCCAGTGCTGCCCTAGGCCCCAACGACAAGGCTGGAAGCAGAGATGCGCAGAGCAGCAAAGGGGAATACACACATTTGGGTCCTCCGGGCACCGTGTTGGCTACGGGGGAGGAGAGGCGTGGGAGAGGGAGGAAAGACAGAGAAACAGAAGAACAGGTTTGTCTCCAGAGAGTGCGGGTGCCGGGCAGCCAGGAGCGGGGTGGTGGTGACAGGCAGAGCGGTGGGGGACTTCAGTGTGGAGATACGGGGGCTGCCACAACCCCAGCACCGCGGTCTGCCCATGGGGCTTCCAGGGAAACTGTCTCTGGCCCTCCTAGGCCAGTACCAAACCCCAACCATGCGGTTCCATCCAGGCCAAGGCCAGAGCCCTTGGCCCTCATCCAGGGCCCCACCCCAGCCCTCCACCCAGAGGTGGCTCTGCCCAGAACACAGAACAGGGAGAGGGATCTGGGCCAGAGGGGCTGCAAGAGCAGCTGTGAGTCGCCCCAGCCCACCACAGGCGGTGGGGCAGGGGTCCCAGGAGAGGCCCTGAGCCTGAAGCCCGCCGCCCTGCCCGGGAGATGCACGCAGACACTCACTGTCGGTGATGTCGCCAAGGCCCTGGGCATACAGCAGGTCCCGCAGCCGGGTCACCTCGTCCTTCAGCTCACGGATCAGCTTGTTGTTGGGGTCCTCGTTGATGATGGCATTGCAGCGGATCTGCTTGGCTCTGTCGGCATACCTGGGCAGCAAGGGGGGTGTGGGCTGTGCCCGGCACAGGTCCACACCCACAGGCCCAGGGCTGCCTGGAGCACAGCCCAGGACCTGGCCAGGGGATGGGCTCAGCAGCTGGTCCAGGGGGCTTTGGCACAGCCTGGTCCTACACAAGTCACTGGGGTGGCCTCTGGGACCACAGGCCAGAGGAGACCAAGGCTGGGGGCATCACCCTGCTCTGGCTTACCCTCTTGGGGAAACTGAGGCCCAAGGGGAAAAGAGTCAAGGTAGTGTCCTCTCCTCCCAGTGAGTCTTTTGCACATGGACCTGGGTCCCTAGGGTGGAGGTGGCAGGTCAACTACCGGGGGTCGTGAGAGTGCCCTCATGCACATGTGTCGGCGCTCCCTGCACATCAGCAAACACCACACTGGACACACACCCTTTGCTCTTTGTCTGTGGGGTGTGCATGGTTAAAAGAGGCCAGAGACCACTGACTCAAACAACCAGGCAGCCTCCCGCAGGGCCGGGGGCCCAGGCTCCTACCCCAGGACTCCCACCCTGCAGCCAGAGAGATCTTTGAAGATACACCTGAGCTCCCTTTGCTAATTAAAACCCCCCAGTGGCTCCACAGCCAATGCGTGAGTGTACACTGCTTAGCCCGGTGAGCACAGTCATCCCTTTCTGGTGCCTCAGGGGCCCTGGGCTGCCTGCAGCCCCGAAGTGCAGCCAAGGGGTGATGGGAATGAAACAGGCCCACGAAAGCCCGGGAGCCCCGGAACAGTCGCTTCCGACCTCACAGCGTCCAGGCCCTAGAGAGGCACCCCCTCACTGATGCTCCCGACTCAGGCATGGAAGGGTCCATCCCAGCCCAGGACAGATGAGGGGACCAGGGCCTGTCTCCCAGAGGACGCACCTCAGCGTGCTGAGGGTCTCGTCGTAGTTGATGTCAGCGGGGCTCAGGGCTGCCACCATAGCCGTCCTCGAGTTGCCGCCTGTGGGGAGAAGAGCAGGTGGTGCCCAGGGCAGGGTCTGGGCCCCACTGCTGTGTCCACTCCCCGCCATGAACACGACAGCAGCAGGGCCTGCCTTCTGGCTGCCCTTCGTCTCTGCACCACACGTCTCCTCTACCTCTCTTCTGGGTAGAGTTTTTCCCACATTTGGGGCCATTTTACAACAATCAGACCTCCTTTCTCCATAACAAAGAGGAAAGTTGTGGAGGTACTTACTCCAAGACAAAGACTGTTTATGTCCAATAATATTTCACACATTTGTATCGTTTTTTGTTGGAAATACTTTTTCAATATTTAACATCAGATTCCTGGCTTCAGGTAACAGGCTGTGTGAGGACAGGGGCTGTCTGATTTCTCTTCCGATGCAATGCACATGGGCTCTGAACGCAGTGACTGCGGGGCAGCAGGTGCTGCAAGGCTCAGCAGCTGGGGCAGTTCTGACAAGGTCACCGCTGGCCCCACCCCATGCTCCAGGTTCGAACAGATGGCCTTGCCTGCTTGACCTCAGGGACCTGCATCCTCAGAGCCACATTCCTGGGGTGAGGCTGCCCGGCAAGTCCCTGTAGGGACTGTGAGGTGAGGTGTGCAGGACGGGCACAGTGCCACACCAGGCCCCGGGGAGGGTTATACAGGAGGACTCCCCCTACCCCTGCCTGGGGCTGAGCCTCATCCCCAGCCCACAGCTCAGGTGAAGAGACACACCTTCCTGTGACACTCTGGTCCTCCCTCAGCAGAGCCCAGCTGCCCCAGGAGCTCCCGTCGGCCCCCTGCTCCACCACAGGCCTGCCGTGGCATGCAGTGCTAGCCCACACTGCGGATCAGCCTGGCTGGTTGTGGGGTACAGTCGGTCAGCCTGGGACCTGCGTGCCTCTGCCATGCAGTCAAGGAAGGCTAGGGCCCCCCATCCCCGGTGTCTACGTTCAGTAGGGCAGCCTGAGACTCAGTTTACCTCCCTGGGTGTCAGCCTCTCCAGCTGTAAACATAGCCAGGGAGGACCCCAAGGTTATTTCTGGGAGGGACGGGATCTGTGTTGGACACTTTTCAGTCTCCATCTCCCCATCTACCTCTCTGCTCAGAACTCAGACAGGGAGAAGGGGGATTTATGGCAGCCCCTCAAAACCCAGCAAGCAAGCAGGGCTCCCCAGAGTCATGGAGTCCCAGGTCCCTGTGTCAGATGGGGAAAACGAGGCCCAGAGAAGGGTGGGCACTTGGCCTTGGTGCCTCCGCTGACCGGATCCAGGAGTGCTCGCACCGCAGGCATGTGCTCCATGGCCCCCCTGGCCAGGCTGGTTCCCCGGCCTCGCTTGTGTTAACCCCCTGCCGGCTGCTGGCCCGGCCTCCCCTCCAGAAGGGCTGCACCCTGAACTGACGGGAGCCTCCCAGGTCACCCTTCAGCCTCAGCCCGGGAAGGGTGAGCACCCCCCCCAGGCAGGAAGCATCCTGGCAGGTGGGCACCCAGGCAGAAAGATGGGCACAGCCCAGGGTGGGGACAGGCAGACCTGAGAGATTCCTCACCCAGGTTTTCCCGGAGGAGCCAGGTCAGCACAGAATCTCGGTAGGGAATGAAATCTGTCTTCTTCTTTTTCTTGTTCTGCAGGGGAGGAACATCCAAGGTCAACCCTGAGCCCCCTGGAGGGGCAGGGAGAGAGAGAAGCGAGTGCAGGCCTGGCCATCGGGTCCCCAGAGCCGAACCCCAGGGCACCGCCATGTTCTCAGGCCACCCAGGCGTCTCCCCGCTGGAACCCCAGGGCGCCACCCCCAGGCACCTCCACTCTGGGCCAGAATCAGGGGTTTGCTACCACGTCCCTCAGGCTCCTCCCTAGTCTGTCCCTGCCGTGTGTCCGGGCCACTCGGCTGGAGCTGAGCCCAGAAGTGCTGACATGGCTGGCCAGTGTGTCCTCCCTCCGCTCTGTCACAAGGACCGATCTGAGCCCATCACCACTCCTTGAACACCATCAGTGACTCCTTCTGACCAAAGGGAAAAGGCTCCACTGCTAAATGCAGCGTTCCAGGCCTCCGTGGCCTGTGCCAGCACCTGTCCAGCTCGCCTCTCCCCTTCCACACGGAATTTCCCTCCCTGTCCCTCATCAACCTTCCTGCTGTCCTCCTGCAGCCACCTCACAAGCCTCTCCTGTTATAATCTGTCCTCCCCGCCTCTCCCGTCAGAGTGAAGCCTCCTCCATACTCGTTTCCCCTGACTGAACGATTCCACTAACTGCAGAGGTTTACTTTCCAGTGTCTACTCCTTCATGGTCGCATTTGCTTAAGAACAATCTGTAAGCATTGCTGCAGCCTGCAGACAGGGCCCCTGCACCCACCAGCGCACACTCAGGGAGATGCACACAGGCGCCACCTGAGGGCTGTGACAGTTCTCTGGGCACAAACACATGTGTCATCGTTCTTTAAGATGAACCCTAGGAGGAACTCCACTAGCTCCTGAGACACGCTGGAAGCTCTTGAGACGCGCTCCCACGCCAGTTCTCTGGGCACAAACACATGTGTCATCGTTCTTTAGGATGAGCCCTAGGAGGAACTCCACTAGCTCCTGAGACACGCTGGAAGCTCTTGAGACGCGCTCCCACGATGGGTTCAGAAATGCTGCGCCGGTTTCTCTGCGAGCAGGGTTTAGGGGTATCCATCTCACAACAACTCATCAGCATTGAGGGATTTCTGTTTTTCCTTTGAAACTTGGTAGAAGACACACTATTTCTAGTTTGCTTTTCGATTATTTACTTCCTGAGGTTGAATTCTCTGCCATGTGTCGCATTTCTTGTTTGCAGAGTAAATGCCCTACAATCACTCAGCCACTTCAGCAAGGAGCTCAACAGTCCTCCTTGGCTGCACTGCTCCCTGTCTGGCTCTCATTTCAGCCACCAGCAGCCCCTGTCCAGTCATGAACTGCCACCTCCCAGACCACCCACTGCTCTTCCTCTCCTCTGCCTTCCCAGCCTCCACCATCTCATGCTGGACCACTGCAACACTGACCTTCCAGTCTCCTGAATGCCACACCAGGCCATCACGCTCCCGATCTATTCATTATATGCAGCAGGTGAGGGACATGTTCTAGACTAAATCAGACTTAGAGAGCATTGCTAAAAGCCCATTCACTGCTGCCCATTAAACCGCAATCACCCAGCTTCTGACAATGAACTACGGACCTCAGATCAGGCCCCTGTCCCCTGTCCAGCCTCGTCATCCACGTGCCCCCACGCTCCCTGCTCCAGGCTCTGTTCTTCACCCGGTTCCTCAAAAACTCTCTCATTCAGTTCCTAAGTGTTTCTGTCACAGTCCCTCACACAGCCCCTCAATTATTTCCTCACAGTCCTTCACATATTTCCCACACGGATCTTCCACATGACCTCACAGTTCCACAAAGTTCACATATGGGTCGGACAATTCTTCACACAGTTCCCACACGGTCTCTCAAAATTCCTCACACAGCTCCCCACTCCACTCACAAACTTCCTCTCACATTTTCACCGTTCCTCAGAGTTCACACACAATTCCTAACAATTCTCACAATGCACAGAGTTCTCACACAGTTGCCCACATACTACCTCACACGTCCCCCAAACCATGACCTCCCCACACACATCTTCACGTGTTCACGTACAGTTCCTTACAGTTCCTCTCATAGCTCCCCACACAGTTCTTTACACAGGTCCTCACATAAATTCCCACAAACGGTTCCTCGTACAATTCCCACTCAGTTCGCCACCATTTCACACACTTCCTCTCGCAGTTCCACGGTTCCTGACACACTTCCCCACACACTTCTACACAGACTTTGTAAGAGGAAAGTATAACTTTAACCTGTGCAATTTGCTTCTGTAAGTGCTTGCTAAAAACGGGAAAACATAACTAAAGGCATTTTAAGTAAAGCAGCTTCTAAGAGGTCAGGCAGACCCAGCCACACTAAAATTCCAGGAACCAACCAGTCCCAGGAACTAACCAGTTCCTTATCTAGAGGCCACCTGGCAGACCCCAGGGAAGATAAACAATTGAGAAATGAGCCATTCCTTATCGGGGTACCAGCCTGTTAAGCCTAATCATAAATCTTAAGGTGCCTCAGATAATTAACAACTCATCCTATTATGAAAGCCTGTCTAAAAAACTGTATAAAAAGCTCTGGTGTTAAAGGCTCAGGGCCGCTTCTGTCCTGAAGACAAAGCGACCCCAGCATGCTGGAATAAAACTCCTCTTGCTTGATTGCAATGGTCTCTGTCTCGTGGTCTTTGTGAAGTGAGCCACCCTGACACGTGGGATTTGTGCATGGTGCACAGGTCTTACAACTTCCTCACAGTTCTCTCACAGTTCCCCTCAGGTCCTTACATGATTCCTCAGATTTTCACTCACAGTCCCTGATACATTTCCTCACACTGTTCCTCCCAGTTTCTCACAGTTTGTCACACAGTTCCTCACACAGATTTCTACATAATTTCTCACACAATTTCACACATAGTGCCTCACGGTTCTCTTTCCCACACAGTTCCCCACACAATTCCTCAAAGTTCCTTCACACCGTTACTCGTTCAGTCCCTCCACTCATTCCAAAGTCCCACACAGTCCATACACTTCCTCACAACTCCTCACACTGTCACACTCCCATTTCCTCAAAATTCCTTATACAGTTCCACACAGAGTTCCTCACAATTCTCCACACAATTTCTCAAAGTTTCTGACATAGTCCATCACATAGTTCCTCATGCATTTCCTGGGACAGTTCTTCAAACAATTCCCCACGTAGTTCCTCTCAGCTCCTCACAGTCCCTCACACAACCCTTTGCCACGGTTCTCCACACAATTCCTGACACAGTTCCTCCCAGTTCCTGACAGTCCCTCACAGAGCAACCCTTCGCCACGGTTCTCCACACAATCCACAGTCCCTCACAGAGCAACCCTTCGCCACGGTTCTCCACACAATCCACAGTCCCTCACAGAGCAACCCTTCGCCACGGTTCTCCACACAATCCACAGTCCCTCACAGAGCAACCCTTCGCCACGGTTCTCCACACAATCCACAGTCCCTCACAGAGCAACCCTTCGCCACGGTTCTCCACACAATCCACAGTCCCTCACAGAGCAACCCTTCGCCACGGTTCTCCACACAATCCACAGTCCCTCACAGAGCAACCCTTCGCCACGGTTCTCCACACAATCCACAGTCCCTCACAGAGCAACCCTTCGCCACGGTTCTCCACACAATCCACAGTCCCTCACAGAGCAACCCTTCGCCACGGTTCTCCACACAATCCACAGTCCCTCACAGAGCAACCCTTCGCCACGGTTCTCCACACAATCCACAGTCCCTCACAGAGCAACCCTTCGCCACGGTTCTCCACACAATCCACAGTCCCTCACAGAGCAACCCTTCGCCACGGTTCTCCACACAATCCAGTTCCTCCCAGTTCCTGACAGTCCCTCACAGAGCAACCCTTCGCCACGGTTCTCCACACAATCCCCACACAGTTCCTCTCAGTTCCTGACAGTCCCTCACAGAGCAACCCTTCACCATGGTTCTCCACACAATTCCTGACACAGTTCCTCTCAGTTCCTGACAGTCCCTCACAGAGCAACCCTTCACCATGGTTCTCCACACAATTCCTGACACAGTTCCTCTCAGTTCCTGACAGTCCCTCACACAGCAACCCTTCACCACGGTTCTCCACACAATCCCCACACAGTTCCTCTCACAGTTTACCACACAGTTCCTCTCACAGTCCACATGCAGTTCCTCAAAAGTTCTACACATACTTCCCATGCAGTGCCTCAGTTTCTCACACACTTCCCCAGTTCACACGCATAGTTCCCCACACCATTTCACACACTTTCTCTCCCACTTCCGCAGTTCCTCGCGCATTCCACACAGCTTCTCACGTTCTTCGCACGATTGCAGAGTTCCTGCACAATTCTCCACACGGCACCTCACACTTCCCCTAGACAGTTCCCCACCAAGTTCTTCACACAGTTCCACACGTTCTTCTTCACAGCTCCTCACAGTTTCTCACACGGTTCCGCTCACAGTTCTTACACAGTTCTTGACTCGTCACTCATAGTTCCTCTCACAGTTCCTCATGGTTCCCGCACACACAATTCCCACATTTCCCCACATCGTTCCACACGCTTCCTCTCACATTTCCATACAGTCTTCACACAACCCCCTCCCCCCTCATTCAGCTCCTCACAATTCTTCACAAAATCCCACTCAGTCCTCAGTTTCTCACACTGTCCCACACAGCACCTCATACTTCCCCACACGCTCCTTCACCCAAGCTCCCGCACAGTTCCACACATACTCACACACAGTCCTCACAATTCTTCAGACAGTTCCACACCCACTTCCTCAGTTCCTCACAATTCCTCCCACGGTGTGCCACACAGTTCCTCGCGGTTTCTCACAATTGTCCACACAGCTCCACACGCTTCCGCACAGTTACCCATTCAGCCGCCCACACCGTTCCACATTGTTTCTCAGAAGTCTTCACATAAATCTTTAAAATCCCCGACGTGGTCCGTCATACAGTTCCTCATGCGCTTTCCCAGCTTCTCACAGTTCCGCACACAACCCTTTATACAGTTCCTCACACGGTTTCCCACACAGTCCCTCACAACCGCCTCACACGGTTCCTAACGCAGTTCCACACACACTTTCCACCCAGTTTCTCACACTTTCCCACACAGTTCTTCACACAGCTCCCACGCCGTTCCACACAGTTCCTCACAGCTCCCCCCAAACTTCCTCACAGTTCCCCCACACTTCCCAGGCCAGTTCACACATTTTGCCGCACCGTTTCACGCAGTTCTTCACAATTCTCTACACAGTCCCTCACACAGTTGCTCACACGGTGCCCACACAGTTGCACGCACAGTTTTTCTAACAGTTCCTCTCAGAAGTCCTTACACAGTTCCTCACACAGCCCCTCACGCTTCCCCACAGTTTCCCACATGATTCTTGAGAGCAATTTATTGGGGCTGAGGGCACTCTGCTCCCAGCCCCCTCCCATCGGGACTGAAGACAGTAGCGTACCTTGTTGGGTCCAGAGTCCTGAAAAAGAAGACAGAAGAGTCTGAGCACCTGAAGTGAGGCTGGGGCCCCAGGGTGTCGGGGAAGGGAAGGACAAACTGGTTCCGGAGGGTACAAGTATACGGCACATGCCACGTGCCCATCACCCCATGCCTGCCCATGGCTGGGCACTCTGAGCAGGACAAATGACAGTGTGACCTCTCAGGCTACTGTCACCCAGTGGTCTTCCCCAACCCCAACAATTTCAGAGTAGGGCAGGGTCTCCTGAGAGTTGTCCTTCCCTGGCCTGAGGCCTGGGTGTCTTGGAGGGTGGGCCACGTGCCCCTCCTGCAGGGCCCAGCAAGCCCAGCCTCTCACCTCCGAGGGCTGTGGGCTCCCTCTGGGTGGCCTGGATTGGGCCAGTGGAGGTCAGAGCTGACCACAGCCCTCCCCTCCCAGAAGGACACCAGCCAACACATTCACCACGGCCCACAGTGACCCTCAGAAGGCCCCGTGAGGAAGGCAGCACATCCCCATTTTGCGGGTGGGGAAACTGAGGCTCCAGGGAGTGACAAGGATCACTACTCCATCTCCAGCCTTGTGACACTCCCCCCATGTCTGGGCTTTCCCTTAAACCCCAGCTACGCCACCAGAGACATGGCCTGGAAACAGTAGGACGGGCTCCCGGCATCCTCCAAGGAGGACAGGACGGGAGGCACCCCCACAGCCATCGCATTAACCTGGTTCTGGAAGCCTGGGCCAGCTCACCATTTCGGCCAGAGCGGAGATGACCTTTCCCAGTGTGGTCAGGGATTTGTTGATGTTGGCGCCTTCCTGTGTGCAGAGAAGACAGTCGGCACGTCAGGAAGCCTCGGGAGCCTCTTGCTCCACAGTGATCCCCGGGGGCCGGGGCTGAGGCCACCGGGCCCTGACTGCTGCCCTCTGGGGCCACGAGGGGCAGGGGATGCTCCGGCAGGAGGCCCCTCAGAGCCCCCGCCGGCCAGGCAGGGCAGTTTGCCCAGCGTTTCTCTGCGACTCCATCTGAATCCCAGTAACATCTCCGCCACCCCCACTAGTACAACTTCCAGAGCCCCAGCCCAGCCATCAGATCACGGTGGGCATCAAAGGGGGGCTCAAGAAGGTAAAGCCTCTCCTTCCTGACACCAAGACTGTTTCAATGGGAGGGTGGCCCCTCAGGACGCTGGCCAGCTGGTTCACTGTCCCGCTGCTGCCTCACACCTGTGTTCTTCTGGAGGGAAAATGTAGACGCTGCTGGGTGCGCGGTCGCTGAGGGCCCGTGTTTGGAGAGGGGCTGCTTCCCCACCAGGGTCTCTGTCCCTGTTTACCTGGAGCTGGTGCACCAGGCACAGCCTTCTGGTTACTGGAGCCTAAGGCTCGGCCCATGCACCCCTCCTCTGCCCAGGCTCACCCTTCGGGGTGGCCCCAATCCCCCTCCAGCTCCAAGCAGAGCCCTCCTTCCCAGCCCACCCTGGAGCAGGCCATGCCTGGACACCTGACCCCGCCAGCCAGGTAAATCAAGGCACATAGGGGCCCGCTGCTCTCTGCTGGTGTGATGGTCTGACCCCCACCTTGAGGCGTGTGCCCTTGGCGCCCGTGGAGTCAGCCCGCTCGCTCCCGGCCAGGTCCACCAGGCTGACCTTGCTCACCTGAAATGACAATGGGTCCGATGCAGGAGGTGCTGCAAGGCCACTACAGGGGATGCCCTGCCCCCTCTGGGCACACCTCAAGGGCTACTTGGGAAGCCATGGAAGCCCCTCATCTGCAACGCATTCTCTGACCCTGCAGAGTTTCCATCTGCACCTCTGTCCACAGCGCTGTCGACGCTCTGCCCGAGTGAGGTGCGTGGCCACCTCCCCCAAGACTGCTCACCCCTCGAGTAGGTGAGGCCATCTCAACACATGGGCACACCCCTCACAACAGGGCGCTGTCTCCCCATGGTGGCCAGGAGGGACATCCTGCCACTGTCACCATTTGCATGGACGCACTCATCATCTGTGGTAACATTTGCACCCAACTCCACCGAGGGTCCAGCCACTGCTGCTGCCTCATGGGGCGCAGCCACGCCTAGAGCCACCAGGCGCCAGCGGGCCCCCAACCGAGGCTCCCTTTGCCTCAGTTGGGGGCACATGCATCCAGGGAGGCCACAGCTGACAAGGCAGGACTTGTCCAGGCATTTAACAGGCCATGGACTCCAGCAGGACCCTCTCAGTGCCTGCTGACAAGGACAGACAGGCAGCTGCAGCCAGGCCGAGCGGGTTCCAGCTTTGCCCTGAGACTCGGCTCACCACACCGTAGTCAGGAGGACGGTGCCAGGGTAAGGTGACCCCCAGCACCATCGGGGACTCAGTGACAGTAACTTTGCCCAACCCCTCTGTAGACCCCAGGCTGCTGCCTGAGAGTCCTGCCCGCTGGGAGGTGGCCTGGATGGCAGGGATGACAGGACCAGGGCTCTGCACCTGCCCTGCTGCCCCCAGCAGCCCACACAATGAGTGTCTGGGATAAAGGCCCAGGAGATGAGGCCCCCACCAGCCCACTGAGAATGCCAAGGCATTCCTCAGGGAAGGGCATCTGGGCAGGGGTGGTGGGCAGGGCTGTGGCCACTCGCACAATCTTTCCTTTGTGCTTGCGGGTGCCGGCGCCCACTGGGAGGCCTTGCTCCCAGTCCAGGGCCCCAGCTCTCTGATGAGGGTGGGGACCCCTGTTCCTACCAGCCTGTGCCAGAGCCCGTAGGCACCTTTGGACCCACCACCCACCTTCACTGCCACCCTCTGAGGACCTCCCTGTCCTGTGGCCTGCAGCCCCCACTGTCACCACTGAAACTGCCCAGCTGGCAGGAGGCAGACCCCAGGTCCACAGCCCCTCGATTCTGAGTCCCTTCCACACCCAGGTGGCCCCACACACTGAGATGAGGTGGCCTCAGGCCTGGCCAAACTCTCTCTGAGGCCTCTGCTGGGCGGGGGATGGTCAGTGCCTGGTGACCAGCATGAGGACACCACCCACTCCTCACAGGCCAGTGTCTGGTTTGGTGTCCTCGTCCCACCCTGACCAGCCTGACCCCAACCCTCCATCCTGACCACCCGCCAGTGCTCCCAGGTGGCCGCCGCCTGCCAGGGCCGCACGCTCACTTTCTCCGTGGTGATGTTGGTCTCGGCATCATGGCGCTTCTGGGTGAAGATGATGTTGAAGACGGCGTGGGAGCGGCTGCTGGTCTCATTCATGTTTGTGGCTGCCACAGTCCTGAGGAACAGGAAGCCACACGCGGCTACCCCTCGACCCTTGGTTGGGCAAGAGGGTTCCAGGTGGTGCTGGCCGCTGGACCAGCCGCCTGGGGCTGCCCGGCCCGCCTGGTGGTGGCTGCGCCTCCATCGGAGCTCAAGCGAGGCCCGCGCACCCTGCCCACCGTGGCGTCCTCAGCCCCGGCTCGGGCCTGGCACTCGGGGGATGCGTGCAGCGATGAAGGGGGTGCTTCCCCACTTCCGGGGCTCAGCAAAGGCCAGGCGGCAAAGGCTGCTCAGCTGGGCAGCAGCCCTCGCGGACCTGAGGCAGGAAGCCCCGCACAGAGGAGAAAGGAACACCCACCGCCCATCCTGTGCCATGGCCCACACCAGCCGCTCCAGGAGCCCGAGGACCCCGCCACCTCCCCAGGCGCCCAGCCCCCGCATGGGAGGTTCACAGCGAGGGTGTGCTGAGGGCCCAATGCCTCTCGCGGGCTGACACGTGCCCTGAGTGGCCTCAGGCACCTCCTTGGGGGCCGCCGCACAGAGCCCATCAGGAGAGCGGTGGGAGCCTAAGGACCCTCCCGGAGGGAAGGCAGGGCTTCCTCAGAGACGTGCAGCCACAAGTGCGGAGCAGGGGGGACACAGGCATGGAGGGCGGGCGTTGCCTCCACACACCTGGCCTTGTTCCCTGAGTCCATGAGGTCCTGGATGTCATTGTAGGAGGTGACGGCCAGCTTGGAGAGGTCCTCCACGTAGGGACCCAGCAGCGGGTGCTCCCTCACCCGCAGGTTGCCCTTGTTCTTGGGGTTCAGAAGGTCACGGACGCGCTCGCAGTAAATCTCCATGTAGCTCACCTGCAGGGCAGAGTGCCACGCCATCAGGGACCCCGAGGTGAGGGGGTGATGGCTCCCAGCCTGTGGCCCTGGCATGTGTGTGCAAGGTGGGTGTCAGTCCGTGGCTATCCTGGGCTCTGTGTCACACGCCCAAAGTGGTTACACCAGGGCCACCTCAGCCACAGCACAGTCCGGCCCATGCAGCTCTGTCCGTACGCCTGGCACGGAGAAGTGGCTCACTGAACACCTGCCAAGTGGAGGCCTCCCCATCACCCTCTGTGCCCTGTGAGTCTGAGTCCCGCGTGGGCACAGTTGTCACGTGCGCAAGCGGGGGACACGCTAAGGGCGCGAGCAGTGGCAGGTCTCACTTTAAGTCAGAGGGGCATTACCAGTCACGCCTGAATCCCCCAGCCCCACCCTGAGGAACAGAGGACAGGCGGGCGCCCGGGCACCCTACCTCCACAGAGTAGGACATGTTGTCGTTGCTTGTGTCGTTGATTCGAGAGAAGAGGTCCTCGCAGAGCTGCAGAGACCGAGAGGCTCACACTCAGCCAGTGAGGCTGGGGGCTGCTCCCGGAGCCCCGTCCCTCGAGGAACTGCGGGCGGTCTGCGCCCTGGCACGCTGCTGCGCCCCCCAGCCCCTCGTGCACCCTCACGTCACACAGTCCATCGTAAAGTCACCAGGAAGGCCTGCAGCCAAGGAGCCGGCATCTTCTGCCCAACTCAGGGGAACCCTGGCTGGTATCTGATCTTTCCTGTGGATCATCCGCTCCTCACCCCAACCTTGTCTGCACAGAGGCTGGCCCCACCATCCCACAGACGACCTGGCATTCTCCCCTCCCTGACCAGGTGAAATGCTGACCAGCTCAGGTCCAGAGACCTGCCTGGGGGGACAGGCTGGGGGCAGCTCTCAGCATTTGGCACCCTTTGTCCTAAGCACCTCTCCCTGCCCAGACCACCAGCCCTCACAACCCCCTAGAGAACAGCTGCCCCAGCCAGCGGCCCTCCCAGCCACCCTGTGACGTGGTGGGCACTGGCCAAGGCCAGGGCCCCTCCTGCAGCCCATCCCAGGGCCTGGGTCTCCAGGCTCTTCACAGGCCACGTCTGTCTCCCCCCTGCCCTGACCCTGCCTCCTCCCCGTTCCCTTCCCTACTGCCTCCCATGCCCCACGTGCCTGCGGGATGATGCCCTGCTGGTCCTTCTCCTGCTTGCCCATCATGGTGTAGGACTTGCCCGCCCCCGTCTGCCCGTAGGCGAAGATGCACACATTGTAGCCCTCGAAGGCGTGCTGCAGCATCTCCTCCCCGATGTCCCGGTACACCTGCTTCTGCGAGGCGTAGTTGATGTCCTCGGGCTGGAGGGCAAGGATGGGGTGTGGCTGCAGGAGGCTGGGGAGCCCGAGGCTCTGCCCACCGTGTCCACTGAGAACAGGTGGTGCCCAGGGACACCTGCCCCCGTCCCAATCCTGCCTGGGTGGGTAGGCGGCTTCCTGGAGGAGGGACCCTCCGTGTCGCAAGTGAAGGATGAAGGGCAGCTGGCCGAGCCAGGCCAGGGTGGGACAGAAGGGCACTCCAGCAGGGGGAGCAGCATGTGCAAAGGCCCAGAGGCAGAACCTCGAAACCAAAGTAAGTTCAGGGCGATGGTGGCAGGGGTGACAAGAGCTGGGGTTAGAGGGGGAGCAGGGTTCGGAGGCCTGGGGACCCTGCAGGCCAGGCCGTGGGGCACTTGAGGCAAAGAGACAGCATGGTTGGGCGAGGAGTCGCCCTGGGAGGAGGACGGATTGGACAGGGGAGGCATAAACGGGGGGCCCTGGGGCTGTTCTTGGGGCTGTTCTGGGGGCCAGGCGCTCAGAGCTGTGTAGGCAGGAGCTGGGGGCTGGATGCCTTCTAGGATTCCAGAGGCGGTGGGCGACGGGCAGGGATGAGTGTGGACTGGACGTGGAGGTAGGAGGTGGACGAGCAGCGTCTCCAGGCTCCAGCATCCAGGCTGCTGGTGCCAGGGGTCAGCTTTGGGCACTCTGCGTTGGGGGCATTTGGGGAAGTGGAGCTCTGGCCCTGGGTGACTGACCACAGTGAGCTGAAGGCCCCTCGGTCCCTGCAGCTCACTGGTCATTACCTCAGCTGGGGACGGGGTGTGTCCCAGCTCAGGGTGACCTTCCAGGGGAGCCTGGTGGGGTCCTCACCCCATTTAGAGGGGAACATGCCACTCAGAGAGGCTGAAGGACTCCTGAGGGCCAGGTAGCATCCTCCCGACCCCCAGCCCCGGCTCACCGAGGTGTGTGACCAGTAGGAGTAGTCGAAGCTGAAGCTCTTGGGCGTTTCCTTGGGCTGTTTGGGGTTGACGATGGCTGCAGGGAGACAACACAGCATGGTGGTTAGCGCTGTGCTGATCAGGGGCCCCAACCATCTGAGCCTACACCCCCTGAGGGAAGAAGGTGGGGTCCTCAGGTTCTCCGGCCCCAGACAAGCCAGACCCCCAAATTGGAGGGCTCCCGGCCCCGTTCCAGGCAGAGGAGCCATCTCTGCCCCTCTCTTTATGGTGGACCCTGCTGCCCACAAATGCCCAGGGTCCGGCCTGCAGGGCTGTTGTCTGCAGCCAAGTTCACCAGGCTCATCCTGAAAGCAGCCCAGGGCGTTCCTCCTGCAAACCCTGGGCCACCCGCAGCACAGGTCTGTGCCGCTGCTGCTCTGCACACACGTGCCCTGGAAGCACCTGGAGGCTGGGGCATCCCGCCACCTCTGTGCCACTCCTGTACAGCTCCCTATCCCTGCTGCAGGGCTATCCACTGCAGGGAGCATCACCACGCTCCCATCCTCCCATCGGCGGGCAGTTAGGCTTTCTGAGTTTGCTCTTGTGAATAAAGCCCTCTGGGACCATGCTCTTCGGGGACCGCTCTCAAGGCATCACAGTGTCTGCCCCCACTCCCTCCTGCGCCAAGCATCAGGCCCAATCCCAGGCAGCCTGAACAAGCCATGACGCAACCACTCATAACAGGTGCCCGCGAGTGTCCCAGGAGCTGTCCCCGTCCCCCATGAGGCTCGCGAGTGCCCCAGGAACCCAGCGCACCTGCCTGTAGCCTTGCATCCCAGCCCCTCATTTCTCAGGCCCTGTACAGGTCAGGACGCACAGGCAGCATGTCCTGGTGGCCTGGCGGTAAGGACCTCAGGCTGCTCTGCTTACTGCCCTCCAGAGCACGCTCAACCTGACGGTGCTCTGTGTTGACAGAGGCCCCACCGGGCCAGAGGCAGACGCCCCCCACCCTCAGACATTCACGTCCATGAGGGACGTGGGCCAGTCCTAGTCGGAAGGACCCCGAGGCCCTCTGGGAGACCATCTCCATCCCATCATCAAATCTGAAGAGTGAAGCCCCCACATCACCAGCCCGCATGCCATGCCTGGAGATGCGTCCCGACCGTCCACCCCTTGGACTGGCACGCCTCAGCTGCAGGGGTCTGGGGGCCTCATCTTTCTGGGCACAGCACAGCCTCCAGGAGGTCCTATGCCCCCACCTCCAGGGTGACCTGTTGCCAGCACCAAGGAGAGCAAGAGACCCCCTACTTATGAGTTAAATTTGTGTCCCCAAGAAATTCATATTTTGAAGTCCTAAAGCCCAGTATCTCAGAATGTGACCTAATTTGGGGATGGCAGAGGGGATTGGTTAAGATGAGATCCTGCTCTCCTTATAAAAAGGAGAAACTTGGAGACAGACACACACACAGGGAGCAGGCCGTTAGAAGATGAAGGCAGAGGTCGGGGCGAAGTTCTACACGCCAAAGGACGCCAAAGTCTGCTGACAGCACAGGCGTCCTGGGAGCCCGGTCCCAGAGCCCCAGCTGGAGGAGCTGTGGGAAGTGCCAGGCTCCTCAGGAATCCAGCAGGAGGGAGTGGCGACTGACCATGGCAGCCCTGTCCTGGGAGCCCAGAGGATGTCACATCCCTGCTGCCTCTGGAGCAGAGGCAGACAGGAGGGTGAGCTGCCCCGGTTTCAACCTCTGCTGGGACCTGGGTGGCAGCACCTGTTGCAGCCACCGAACCCAAGCACAGATAATGCCCGCGCCATGGAAACAAAAATCAGCACCCTCCTGCCGGAGCAGCCTGAGCTGGGACCTCTGCTGGCTCTCACAGGGGGCCCAGACCCTCTGCTGAAGCCACCAACTCCCTGCCTCTGTCCCCTTCACCTCCGTGCACCTCGGGCCAGGGTCCCCAGATGGGTCCAGACCCCCCTTCTTGTCCAGCACTGGCCCTGCCCTGGGGCGCCAACCTTGTTCCGGTGGAGTCCTGGTGCTGGGCGTGTGTGTTGTACCACACATAAACTGTGAGCTCCCTGAGATGGGGGCCTCCCGGGACAGGGCACAGGTAGTGCCCAAGAATGCTGGACAGGGAGGGGACGGTGGTCAGCCAGGGTGAGTGAGTGGGGATGGAGGTCACGGTCTTAAGCTAGAATGGTTCATAGGGAGAATCCACTGTGGGGCCTCCTGCAGAGTCACTTGGGCCCTGGGACCTGCCTGTCCCCTCCCCACCCCCTCCTCAGATCCTGCAGTGTGGCTGGAAACACCCTCTGTCATTACACAGATGGGGTCCCAGACCTCAGAGAGGGATGTCCATGCTCCTGATCCCATCTCCTGATCTGGAACCCAAGGTCCACCCACCAACAGCTCCGAGCCCTGGAGAGGGACCTGCCGAGGCCTGTCCTCGCTGCACAGTGGCTTCGAGACAGTGGCCTCTGCTGGGGAAGGGGCTTCCCTTGCTGGATCTCCAGCTTTATCCTGTGTGGGTTAAGGGGTGAGGAGTCGGCGACTGGACCAGCTAGTGTAGAGCCCCGAACCCCTCCTCCCTGGCTCAGCCAGGCCCAGGAGCTGCAGCCCTTCCAAGGCGGGGCTCACCTTCCCGGGGCCCCGCCCAAGGCCACCCAGGGCCTGCAGCTTAGAGGGGAGGACAAAGACGTGGGGGTGGCTGGAGTGAGCAGGGAGGAGGAAGAGGGACTGAAGGGAGGGTTTTCTTGGAGCCTGAACTACCCAGCAGCCTTGAGCACAGACGGTCCCCACATGCACGGGGGAAGCGCTAACGCTAGCAGATGGCATCCAAGGTGGGCCTTTGGGAGGTGATCGGGGTTAGGTGAGGTCGTGGGGCTGGGGACCTCACAGAGGGAGTCGTGCTGTGTAAGAAGATGAGGAGACCAGTGCTGGCTGCTCCTGCCACGAGGTCACAGCCCTTGTGCTGCGTGTGGAGAGGAAGTGGCACGCGGCCCTGCTCCCTGCGTGGCACGTGGCCCTGCTCCCTGCGTGGCACGTGGCCCTGCTCCCTTGAGCCATGCAAGCACGACAAAAAACATGGTTGGCTCACAAATTGCTGGGTTTGGTGCGCTCAAATAAAGAGTATTACTTATCCAGGGAATGACTAAACGATGGCGAATTAAATTTACTTTTAAGTGCTCCCAGTTTCTGTGGAGCTGTAAGTGGCACGCTTTAGAGAACCAGGCATCTCCTCGTGTTTGGAGACCCCAGGAATATGCCCCCAGTTGGGAAGGGCAGGGCAGTGCGGGCTGGCCGGGCCACCAGCCACCGCGTGGCCCTGCTCCCTGCGTGGCGTGTGGCCCTGCTCCCTGTGTGGCACGTGGCCCTGCTCCCTGCGGTTCCCACACGGCTCTGCCTGTGAGCCATGCAAGCACGACAAAAAACATGGTTGGCTCACAAATTGCTGGGTTTGGTGCGCTCAAATAAAGAGTATTACTTATCCAGGGAATGACTAAACGATGGCGAATTAAATTTACTTTTAAGTGCTCCCAGTTTCTGTGGAGCTGTAAGTGGCACGCTTTAGAGAACCAGGCATCTCCTCGTGTTTGGAGACCCCAGGAATATGCCCCCAGTTGGGAAGGGCAGGGCAGTGCGGGCTGGCCGGGCCACCAGCCACCCCACCCTGACATCCTCCTCGGGGCCTGGTGGGGCCTGACAAGCGATGACACCAGCCAAGGCGGCCAGGCCGCTTTCATTTATTTGTGCCACCTGAGATGTCACCAGAGAAAGTGGCTCCCTGCCCTCCTAGCATCCTCCCCTCCTCTCACACCTGCCTGCACATGGCTGCCCAGCTCAGCTCCCTCCCCTGTGCACCCCAGACTCAGACTCGTCCTTGTCAGGGTTGCCACCCCTCCCTAACACCCTGCCCCCTCGACCTCCAGGAGTAAAGTCTGTCCCCCGCTCCGACCCAGTCCTCACCTCTCCTGCAGGCCTCCCTGCCCAGGTGGGAGGCATCCACCTCTGTCCTGAGTTCCCTCAGCCCGTCACCCAGACTTCGGATGTGGCTTCCAGCACTTTCTACTGAATGATTACCCACCCTCCAACACTCCCCCTTCCTCTCTCTCTCCCTGTCTCCCCCCGCCCCCACGAACACACACTTAGGCCACACAGGAACTGTAATGGGTGCCCAGATGCTCTTTTACACAAACACAATCTTACTCTTCAGCTCTGTGCTGTCCTGTCCCCCTTTCCCTCAACGTTGTTTGGAGTTGTCCCAAGGCCTTAAAAACAAAGCTTTTGACAGTCACGCTCAAGTCCATCCTTGGGATACACCTGATGTCCCTTGACCAGCTCCTGGCTGGTGGACACTGGGGCATTTGGGCACTGGTTTGATAAACACAGTGCTGAGGTGAACATTCCTGAACGCACCTCTGAACACTTGCTGGATAATCTTCTTAGAGGCATTTCCTACAAGTGACCTTACAGGGCCAGCACAGCACATCCCACACCAGTCACCAGGCCACTCCCAGTGACGGGCCTGGGCGCCTGTCTCCCACCACACTCACACACGTAGACCCACCAAGCCTCACAGTTCCCAGCAGTGGTCACAGTTCCCACCTGGAGGTCACAGTTCCCATCCAGAGGTCACAGTTCATACAAGAGTTCACAGTTCCCACTCAGGGTCAAAGTTCCCACCCAGTGTCAAGTTCATACCTGCGGCCGGAGTTCCCACCCAGGGGTCATGGCTCCTGCTCAGCCCATGGCTTCAGTGCTTTAAGGCCAGGGTCACACCACCTGAGCACTTCCTCAGGCCACAAAGGGCTGGGCTGGAAGGGTGAGGAAACCAGCCAACGTGGCAGGAGTTGGATGAGCACCCCGACTTCCAGGACAGGACGACAGAAGCCCCAGCAGGGCTGAGCCCCCACTGCACAGTGGCCACACCCTCATTAACGCCCCTCATCAGCTCCCTCCCAACCTTCCCCCTCCCCCACGGTGCATCCTGTGACCACCTCCCAAATAAACCCTTTGCCTCCAAATTCTTGACTCAGGGTCAGCTTCTAGGTACCAAACAGAGGGGCAACCTCTAACAATCACGATGAAACCGAGAGCACACCAAGCCCCACGCCCAGCAGCCCCACAGGAGTGCCATTAGCCCGGACTTAGGCAGGGCCCCACAAACACCCACTGCTCAATAAAGCACCAAGGAGCCCCACAGGCTTCTGGTAAGGTCACCCCCGGTCCAGATCCCACTCCACAGGACCTAAAGGTGCCCAAAGCATCCCCAACGATGCCCGAATGCTCACCCCTCAACAGGCCTGGGAGGTTCACCCAAGGGAGGCAGCAACCACCAGCTGTAAGTGCCCCTCCCTCAGGGAAGCCCCCACTGCAAACCCGGTAGACAACAGACTAGGAGCCATACAGGGGCAGGGCACCTCTGAGCAGGCTAGACTCTGTCACTACCCCATGCCCTGAAGACAAGGTGGCTGCTGATGCCAACTGCTTGGCACAGCTGGTACCACTCAAGTGCATGCATGACAGGGGCAATGGCAGCTGCATGAAAGACTCCAGGCACAAACCACCTGGCTGAGCCCAGTCACCCACAGAACCGTGGGAGACAGTGACTAGTCTTATTCTCAGACATCAAGCTTTGGGGTGCACTGTTAATCAGCAGAGATAACCCAAACCCTGGTTCAATTCATAGAGGACCCAAAACAAGCCCATCTGCCCTGGGTGCCAGAAGCAAGGATGATGGCCCCCCTTCGTGGGAGCAATGACGGGCAGGGGGCATGGGGGGCTGCTGTGTCCTGCTTCTTGGCCTGGGTGCAGGGTCCCCATGGGCGCAGACTGTGCGAGGCCACTGAGGGCACACCACGAGCCGTGCGCCTCTCTGCATGTCTGTCACACTCCAGTAAAAACGCTGATGGTAAATGAAGAGCAAAGGGGCAGGCTCAGCGGCCAGGCCTCTCCCTCCTGCCTCCAGCGCCGAACCCGCATGCCAGGGCGCTTCAGGGCAGGTCTGTCCTGACGTCCTCGACACGCCGTCCTCTCCCTTACCTGCTCCTAGCCGTCCTGTGGGCTCTAGGCCTCCTGCATGGCAGAGGTTTGAGGATGCACAACCAGGCACAGCGCAAAAGAACAGGCAAAAGCAAAAAATCTTAAAAACCCAGGGCAGCTGAGATAAAATGAAAAACCAGTAACTGTGTGTACTGGCTTAAATACCGTCCCCCCGAAATTCATGTCCCCTGAACCTCAGAATGTGGCCTTGTTTGGAAATAAGATCTTTAAAGATGTAATTAGTTGCTAAGACGAGGTCATACTGGACTAGGGTCAGCCCTAAATCCAATGACTAGTGTCCTTATAAGGAGGCCCCATGAAAACACAGAGACACAAACAAAAGAGGCCAAGTGACGACGGAGGTAGAGCCTGGAGATTGGAGCAACACAGCTGAGTCACGGTGGCCGGGGCCACCAGAAGCTGGAAGAGGCAGACGGACGCTCCCCAGTACCTCAGAGGGAGCGTAGCCCCTCTGGCACCTCGATTTCAGGCTTCTGGCCCCAGAACTGAGAATAAGCTGCCAGTTTGCTGTAGTTTGTGACAGCAGCCCCGGACACTCTCACACCATGTAGACAAGGGGTGACGCTGCTCTGGGCGGCGGGCCGGGGGCTCGTCGAGTCTGGCCTTGGGCACAGGGCCACGGCCCCTCTCGGGTGATACTCACTGGTCGTGCTCCCGGACATCTGAATGATGCACTTGGAGTCGCGGCTCATTTCCCGGGAATTGAAGGGGCGGACACGCACCGCCACCTTCACCGAGGCCCCGGCCATCTCTGCGGCCTCCGTCAGTCCCTCCAAACAGTGGCGGGAGCCCCCGCAAGGGCAGGAGACACCTTGGGAAAAAGAGAAACATGAATCAGAGGTAATATCCGAAGAGACAGAGCGGGCACTCTGCTGGCCGGCTGAACCCATGGGTCCTCGCACTCCCTTCCAGACCCCACTAAATCACACACATATGGGGACCAACCCACAGGACAAGGAACCGGAGAGGAGACAGCCACACACAAAAAGTGGCACCGATTTTAGAAAGCAGAAAGCCACGAGAGAGAGAGAGAGAGCCGACGAGCCAGTGAACCTGGCCCAGCAAGCCTGGGAAAGCCAGAAACCAACACGAGAAACCAGAAGCAGCCTTGGTGTGACCTTGAAGGTGACCTTCAAGCCCACGGCGAGGTCTTCAAGAAGGGCTCCCCCTGAGGACACAGGCCCAGGGTGGACTCCATGTGAGGCCTGTGCCAGGCCCCAAGAGTGGGCGCTGGCCCAGTATCAAAATGTCAGGGACGTTTTAAAAGGGAACAGTGTTCCAGAATGCCCAATCACACCCTCCATCCTGGGGCACCAGCTGGTTGCCACATCCGGAAGTAGAACGGTCTCTGGATTCTCAGGAAGGAGAACTTGACTCAGCAAGTCAAAAGAACGGGGCAGACAGCCCTAAGCATGATCTCCCGCTGCTCACAGTCCACACCAAAGGAGGCGTGGGACATCCCCGCATCCGCGTCACACAGAGGACAGGCAACCTGCCCATCACGGCGAATTTGGTGCAAGCCGGGGGTTGGGGAACTGGCCCTGGTCCTGCCTTTATCCCTGCTGTGTGATTCAGCCCCCGGGACTCAGTTTACAGATCTGTGACATGATAGGGTTGAGGTGATGACCCCAAAGTAGTTTTGCCTCTTGGCCCTGGGACACTGAGGAAAGCCGAGAAAAATGCCCTGCAGAGCAGCGATGAAGCCACCACTCTGAAGGTTTCTGCAGGGTGCCTGGCAAGACGCTGCAGTCGTTTCACTCAAGGGGGACCCAGGGTCTGAAGATGAGGTTCCTGAGAACAGGGAGAGGGACAGGCTCAGGTCAGGAGGCTTTGGTTACAGGAAACGGGATCCATTCAGCCTGACGCGAAGAGAAATTCTCGGGGCTTCCAACCACTGCCGTCTAAAACTCACGTGGCTGAACACTAAGTGGCGAGCCCCCCATCACTAGGGGCATCCAAGTGGAGCCCAGGCTGGGGCCGGTCCCTTTGAAACCTTCCGACACTCATGAAATTCCCTGTTCTGAAAATACAACCTTCTGCCTCATCCTTCCTGCCTGTAACTGCCACCCTCAGGAGAACTGGTCCCAATACCACCTTCCTGCAGTGCCCCCGGCCTCCTATACATGAAGACAGGACAGGGACCCGTCTGCCCTGTGGGTACCTCAGGATCAAGGGCAGGAGAGGTGCTTCTGCAGATGGAGGGGGGCACTACATGGCCCGGGCCCAAGCAGATGCGGGCTCTAAACTCCCCAACATGCAGCGCCAGTTCCCTGGCTCCCCAGGACTCTGCAGAACAGGCTGGACATGGGCAGGACAGTCCCTAAGGCAAACAGCTCTTCCAGAGGCTGCAGGGGAGGGGAATGCCAAAGCACCCCACAACTGAGGTGGACCAGTTCACGACGAGAGCAAAAGCCCAGGCATGGCTGGACTGTGCCTGCCTCCCCACCACGGCCCGTACAGCCACAAAGTGCAGCCGCGTCGACCCCATGGGGGCCAGACACTGCTGCCTCATCCCTCACATCCCAGAGTGACTGCCCAGGCGTGGGCCAAGGGATGCACCTCTCTGAGAAGCCGTGTTTCCTCATGTTGAAAAACTTTGCACTTTTGAAACTGGAAAAAGTCTTAGGACATTCCAGCAGGGTGAGAGAAGTGAGGGGTGAGCTGGTGAATCCCCAGTGAGAATGCAAATCACAGTGGGATTTCCAGCAAGCATTCAGCACTATGTCTGTGCCCCCAACAAAAGCCTGTATCCTTTGACTCAGTACCCCTGAGTACGGAGACAGCAAATAATTAGAAATGAAGAAAATATTTACAAAAGCAGACATTCGATCAGATATGGCAAAACTTTCAGCTATCCCCAAATTTAGCTGTATAAATTCAGTGCAATTCTAATAATCAAAATATGCCAACAGGATTTTCTGTGGAATTTGGCAAGACAAGAGAATTTTGAAAAATAAGAAAAAAGAGAAGGGACATCCTTTACCAGCTACCTTATGTACTAGAAAGCAACAATAATCCCAAAGTCTATAAATGGCACATGTGCAGAGAGATCGATGGAAGAGACCAAGCATGGGCGCAAGCAGGCGGACACACGCACACGCACACACGCACTAAAGGAAAAGGCGGCATTTTAGGTAACTGGGTTGGATCAGTGCTGGGACAATTGGCTATCCCCTACTGAAAAATAAAGCTCGAACTTCATCTTTAAAAGCATCACAAGAACACAAGGGGGCTGTCTGTGGCGCGGGGGCACAGAATGCACGTGATGTGAAGTCTGGAGAGCAAAGGACTGTGCTTCCAGGCAGCACGGCTGGCGGCAGGCCAGTGCTCCCCGCCCACAACCGGAGAAACTGGACAAGACTTTGCGGTCTGTCCGAAGGACTCAAAGAGCTGCTGAAGCAGCCCAGCCCAGCAGGTAAGACAGCAAGCAGGGGCAGCCGAGACAGAGGACGGGAGCCGCAGCACTCTCTCCCGGGCACATTTGCATTCTGGGCACGGGGCAGGAGGCTGGGGTCTGTAGTCTTCCCAGACAAAGGCTGTTGCTGAGGGACGGAGAGAGTTGCAGAGCCTGTGGTCGAGAGAAACAGACTTGAGAGGCCCAGACCCCAGGAGAAGGGGGAGGTGAGGAACTGAGTTGCACAGACGTCCAGTTCTCCCCTTAAGGCAGCTGCCAAATTCTGAAGGTATGAGGGGGCAGAACTTTAAACCCAAGCAGAAAGCCTCTGAGAATCACAGAGGCGTCTCCCGCAGTCTCAGGTGTTGAGGAACAAAGATTTGCGTTCAGGATCCTCCAGGAAGAGGATCCTCAGTGATCACACCAGGGTCTGATGTGAAAGCCCAGACAGGTACAAAACCCAAAGCAGGGCAGAGCCAGAGGCAGAACGAGCCTGGTCAAGCCTGCACCCTGCCCTAAGTCAGCCTGGTCTCTGCCTGAATTCACGCCAGCTGCCTGGGAGAGAAAAGGAGAGCCATCTCTGCTGAGAACAGCATCAACTGGAGCCTCTCCAGTGTTTTAATAAGCAATGTCTGACAATGAATCAAAAGTTACAAGGTATGAAAAGAGACAGGAGTATATGATTAAAAACAAAAAGGAAAAATAAAGAAAAACACAAAGAGAAAAAAAAAGAAAGAAAAGAAACGTACCTACACATGATCCAGATCTGAGTTATCAAACAAAGATTTTAAAATAGCCATGACTGATATGTTCAAAATAAGCAAGAAAAGGATGGAGAAAATAAATGGAAAAATGGAGAATTTTTGCCAGAGGGTTGGAAACTATAAAAAAGAGTGAAATGGAAATTCTAGAACTGAGAAACACAATAACTGAAATTAAGAACTCAAGAGATTAGACACAGCTGTAGACAGGGTTAATGAACTGGAGGACAGAAAATAGAAAAAATTAAAAAACAGAGAGAAAAAAATGGAAAATGCAGAAGTGAGAGTCAAAGAAATACAGGACACAGTGAAA